AAGAGTAGTGCCACAGCAGTACCAGTATCCTGTAGGGCATCCTCATATTCAGAATGACTATAGACAGCAGTATGTGAATAGCAACAGTAACCCTCCTCAGCTCCAAATAACTAAGGCAGCATTATCTCTTCAAGCAACACATGTCCCTTCACCCCAGCAACCAGTGATGTTCAACCAACAGATTTCTCCGCAGACAGCCCTTCACCCATTACAGCAAGCCACACTAGTGCTCCAACAACGAAAGATGTCTGAGGTTTGTAAACATTTTTTTAGTTGAAATGGTGGAATTTTGCCTGATTATTGATAAGATTTTCAAATCATGCAAGTATATTGTGCATAATGAGTTGTGTTGTTAGTCATCTCTTGGACAACCCTGCAATAGTCTAAGTGCTATTGAAAAAATTATTGTATTTAACAAACCCTGTCACTTGCTAACAGTAGTCAGTGTTTAGGATGTAAGTAGCATAATGTGATTTTTCTGGTTTTGAAGGAGAAACTTAAAATGCTAGTCTATCGCATGTCACCCCTGACAATTCAACAGCACCTTAACTCCCTCGTGGAGATGGCCACTGTGAGAGTAAAGTCTTAAAGTTTCTTGCCTGAGAGCAAGACACAGTGACCTAGCCAGCACTCAAACAAGGACCTCCTGACTTGGGATTCTGAGGAGGCATGAAAGGGTTTCTATGCCAGGGGAGAATGGATCAAAATAAATGTATCCTATGCACAATTTTACTGAGTGGTTGAGCAGTTGTGTCAGTAGTATTGCTCAAAACAGGTGACCAGATATAAAAGAAGCCAGAAATAGAGCTTGCTAAGTTGATACATACATACATACATACTTTATAAACATGGCTGACACTTAGCTATATAAGGCTAGTTTACAGGTCAGTCATGATGACCCAGTATTTAAAAAAAATTAGTTTGGTGACCCACCTTGATATTTTGGGTACAAATTATATTTATTATTATGCATTTGTAAAGAAAATTTTTTTAAAATAGATTATTCAGTGAATATTTTTTTACACCTTTACCAGCATCTTCCTAAATAACTCGGGTTCTTGTAGATAGTTTTCTTCTCAAATTGGGTGTAAGAATAGAGAATGTTGTGTGGTTTTAGAAATTAAAAAAAAAACTTGGTCACAGACTTGGTTCTTGAGATATCTTTCAGAAACTGAGTTTTAGAGAGCTTTTCAGTTCCACTTAACTGTTGCCATGGCAACAGATGAGGCTGACTAACACTCTTAACAATTGCTTTACAGTAGTTTAATACAGATGTTAAAACATCTCCCTGATGTTGAGATCAACCATCCTGATATCTTTTATAATTGGATACATGCTGTCAATTGTTGGAAACCCTTTAGAGCATCAACAAAGCTACCATATCTTAAAAAATTTATTGTTTAATTTTTTCACCTGGGTGATCATTAAAGATACTTCATGTAATGCAAGGGCAATGTTCTTGGATCAATCTTAATTGAGGCTTTTTTATGGTAATTTGTTTTTTCTTTTGCTATAGGCACAAGCAGCTGCAGCAGGAGTAGGGAATATACAGCCATCATATCCAGTGGGCAAGTAGCTTAGTTTCCATCAATTCAAGGTTTTAAAACAAGTAGTGACATTTGAACTGTGGTACTTGTCCAAAATAGGAGTATCTGTGACATACAGTTTGTTGGCAATTCAAAGTGTTCAATCAGTGAAGCTTATAACATGAGTGAAATTCAAATTCAGTCAGATTTTTTTGTACACATGGCTGACTGTCATGTCTTTTCTCCTTTCATTTTATGGTACTACTATCCAATAGCTCATTTCTACAAGTATTTTTTTATCTTGTACTTAGTTGTTTTTATTCTTAACTATGTCTTTTCACCTTGAAAAACAGCAGCCTCGACAGTGACACCTGCAGCACCTCTTCCACAGCTTGCAGTCTCACCAGTCTCAGTGGCTTTACACAGAAAGGAGGACAGGTCACATGTACACAGCTCACCTGGTTCTCCTGTGGTGTTCACTCAACATCCACCTGTGGCAGTAGTAAATGAGTCAAGCAGCTCACATTCACATCACTCCTCTCACCAACAGCTTGCATCTAGCTCCAGTATAGTGTCATCTAGTCCTCTGTCTCACTCCTCTAATGCATCAAGTCCAGTACCTGTGGTACAACCTGCCGCTCCTACTGTCAACTTACAGACAGTAGCAAAATATGTGGATAAAAATCTCATCTCTCATTTGTCAGCCTGGCCCACAGAGGCGATGGATAGACAAGTAAGGACTTAAGGTGTAACAGGATAAAAATATAATGATAATGATAATGATAATAATAATAATAATAATAATAATAATAATAATAATAATAATAATAATTGGATACAGCTGGGATTGAAAGCAAAAACAGCAAGCTCTTGGCTAAGCATTGAGTTGTTCTGTGCTTTCATTTGAAAAATTGGGTACAAATTTGATTGGATGTTGAGGTTGAGGTTGTAACATTGTTATGTTGTTCTAACTTTGTTACATGTATATACAAGATATGATTGTGGTACTAGATGATCCAATGAAATGGTCATGGGCAAAATTGGTGCTGTGATTATGGCTCTTGATTGTTTCAATAATTTCTTTCAGTTGCAGAAACTATGGGAAGAAACAGGTTCATTTTCTAATGATAGTGACAAAGCTAAAATCGAACAAATGCAGCTACAGTCTGAAGTAGGTTTTATGGAAATGAGATTAGACACAGCAAGTAGGAGGTGAGGCATATGAAGAACTTGTACAAGCATTTATCCTGAACATCTTAGCATCAGCACGCGTACTTTCCATACTGTTCTCTAAAAATTTCTTAAGCTTCTTTAGTTGGTGATCATTTCCTTTATTCTAGTGACCTTGAAGTTCGATTTAGGGGCAATACTGTGAGGAGAAATTATATGTCAGTCACCCTTAAGGGTTAACAGAATTCTTCTACGGTCTTAATCAATGTGATATAGCATTTATATTGCAACAAATCCAGGAGGTTTTTGTCCATGGCATGTCTCAAGCCCTTGAATGGCAGGAATCTGCCATTCTTAGTTTGGTTTTCTCTGATGTATTATAGCCGTCCACTTTCCATATTGCATACATCACAGTGCCTTTATTTTCTTTTCCTTTCATTTGAGGTAATGCCAACTTACAATAGTACTTTTTCATTTATGCCTTTTTTTTGTTCTTCAGCTTAAATTTGTTTTAATTTAAACAACAAATACTCCTGAAAAAGTATTTCGTCTCTGGTAATTGTTTTATATTTCTATTTCCTGTGCAGAATTTCTTCATTAAAAGGAATGACGAGAACTTTAGAAGCATTACTGGCAGAATCAGAGGCCAAATTCTTGTCTTAGTGAAACAACTTGTCGAGTTCAGTGACAACTGAACATGATGAAGTTGTGATAGAAAAAGCAAACGAGAAGTAATGACGGCAACGATGTACAGCTTCAATATTCAAAGACCAAAGTGATAGCTAACAATGATACCATGGGAGCGATGTACAGCGCTGTTGCTTGGGAAACCTTAAGACGTGAACAGTCGCAACTAAAGCCAGTCATAGGTGACTGACAGAGTAGTGAGAGATACATTGGTAGTCTGCTTATAGAAGTATAAGTTTCTGTTGATAATGAGGTATCTCTCTGTGATGTTGTGGAGTATTTGGTAGATATATTGCTTGGCAAAGCCAAGGGTATTGGTTAGGTTGAAATTCGCACTCCACAGATCCCTGGTCGTTAACTTCTTTTCTATTTTTTTTCCTGTCCCTTCCATCCATAGTGAACTTAAGAGCGACAAAACCGTAATTAAAGGCACAAGCCATTGTAAAATATGACACGTAACTGATAACGAAGTAAAGAAATGTTTTCTTTCTAAATGTCATTTTGAGTATTTGTACGAAACATGCCATCAAATAAGCCAAATAATAAAGTTTTTTTATGGTGTGATGTGCGGACGTGAGTATGGTGAAAAATTGGCCGAGTCCATGTATGCTGGTGTATGGATCTGAGGGGTCGCTAGCGCGCTGAAACACCCAGGTCTGGAGGACTGAACTAAGAGAGTTAAGGGCAGCTGACGATGGGCGTCGGTTCTTGTCTTCGTGGTTCTTTCATATCTCAGCATTTTGATCGTGCTTTATTATGATTTAATCTGAGAAGAAGCGTGCGTTATCGCAAGTAAAACACTAAGAGAAGAAAAACTATGCGGTATTTGACGGGGCGAACGTGGTGCGAGTGAAACATTGGTAATCGGATAAACCGGTTTGGTAACGGTCTACGCTTCGGCGGACACCTAAGAGTACAAGAGCACTTCAGTTGCCTGTGGCTTCCTAATTTATTCTTGCTTATCATTCGTTATAGTAGTCCAAGTTTTAAAAGAAAATTAGAATGTAAGAGGATTTTTTTTTCACCGCGAGCCTGTCCTGAGTCAGCGATGATATCGATTTGAATCCAGTACACCTCACAGTTTGAGGAACGTTGTTTGACCGGCTGTGAATGATGTATCATCTTCCTTCGTTCCTCTAAGGTGCTTCGTTTCGTTTTTGTGCTATGATCAGAATATCCCAGTTTGGGCTAAAAAAGGAGCATTAAGAACTGAACTTGCATATAAGACCGACGGAATCTCTTGGGTTTCTATCTCTTTTCTTACAATTTTTTTTTTTGTGAAATTCTTTCTACTGTTGTTGAATTCCATGTTGTAAGGGGGTTGTAGTTCCAATCGCTAAAGGTGGGATCATGGACACAGGTTACGGTAGTGATAACTGTTGTGGACTTGTTTAACATGTTTCCAACGGAAACTAGTCCTCTGACCCTTACAAGATGAAGTCTTTCAACTGATTTAGGGATAGCTGTCAATCGCGGTTAATTTGACGTCAAAAATCGAAAAATGTTGCCATGACAAGTATTGAATCGGCATACGACAAAGCAAGTTCTGATTCACTGTTTACTTCTTTCTACGAAGAAAGAAAAAAAGCAATTCCACTGAAACAGAAGACCGACCCATTTTCAACCCTAGCAAAGCCAGATCTTTTATTAAATGCTGCCAAAACTTATGATTCTAAAAATATGTATACATAACAGGTAAAATCTTAAATTTGAATAATAACAATAGATAGAAAACTTACAAAAAGCAGTTCGTATTCACAATTGGTACAAACGTAAAAAAAACCCAACTTGCAGAGCCACCACTGTCACCGGGATCATTTAGAAAAACTTGAATAATCGTAAAGAGCGTTTTTCGACTGTGTGGCGTAAAACCACAACCAAAATAATCAGAAAAAATGAGAATACCTTGAAGAGCCAATGAGAACTCAAAGTGAAAACAACCAAACTCCCTAAAGCGCGGGAAAACGCGGGCGACCAAGTCGTGATTGGTTTCAATTTTACAAATGATTGGTTGATAGAGTGGCGCGAGGTTTCTGGACCAATCACAGATAGAAGGCAAAACCAAAGCAATCTCGGTTACTTTCGACACTGACTTGAAAATTTGTGTACTAAAGGAAATTCATCATTGGCTATCAGTGCTAACGAATGAAGCAAGCAAAGAGAACAAAGAATTTAGGCGAAGCTCGCTGCTTATTTTTTGTTTAAATGATCCCGTTAACTGTAGTTACACTGTAAGTCATTTTGAACCAAACTAAGGCCGCACCTATTGCAGCCCCGTTCAAGAATTAAAAAACAGCCTCGAGGAGATTGGATGTACAAAAAAAAATACAGAAATTTAAACTCTGTTGTTTAACAGCAATCGTACAAACGCTCCTATTTCTTTGTGAAAACATCTCAAGCAATTCCACATTGGTTTCATTCTCAATAAAATGCAACTTCGTCTTCATGTCACTCCCCCTTAATATAATATATCAGATTGTAACCATGTTCACTTCCACAAATTATCATATACAAGTGTTGGCTGACAAGCCACATGAAACTAAAAACTACCAAATTACTAAAACTCAGCCTTACAATGTTTCATTTCCTAAATTGTTCTTTGTGGTCAATAATAATTTTCTGTAAGATAACTTGACTTTCCTACAAAATTGTTACAAGTCAAATTGACTTTTGCCTACCCAAAAAAATCAATTTCTTTATCACTGACATAACATCAAAATTAGTGATTGATCACCGAAAAAAGGAAAAATATATCGTAAAAGATGTACATCACATTACATATAACTGTCGACAATATTCAGCACCTCTGCTTCCTGCCTTGTAAAAAGCATTTCAAATTCGTAAGCTAATAAATTGCCAGCACTTTCAGAGATTTGATAGCATCTACATTGTTCACCTTCACAGCCAACGTTTAGTCTTGTCACGCAACACACTGGAAAAGCTCCTTACAAGCGTCACGAGCAGCAAGGCCGTGGTAGAAAGCGTGCTGCAAGACGGGAACAAACGACGGTTGCAAAGGAGACTACGTTTCCATATAAAGATTAGCTTGCAATCAAGTTTTCTAAACCAGCCCTGCCGGTTGATCAATAAATGTGATAATCACGTTAATAACATGTGCTGCTTTGGTTCCAGACCAAGCAGTTAAACACACGTGTGTGACACAAAGTTATTTAACAATTAAACTTATTTCTGATGATATAAAATTTTCCAAGCCAACGTGCACAGGATCAACACCTGACTTGACAATCTTGAAAAGATCAAAAACTGCGGAGAAACAAACGTCATACTTAGTAATGTCCTTTTAACACTATAATACTTAGGAATGACTAGCATGTAAATTCTCCTTACAATATCAGCCCTGAATCAAACATGATGGTCACGAGAATACAAGGAATGATCACCAACTAAATAAGCTCTTGATTGTTCAACAAACTCTCCTTGTCAGTACATTAGGAAATGTATAGAGAACAGTAGGAGAATATGCCTACCAATGTTCGGGTGTAAAGAGTAAACGATAAATGGATGTGGAATATGCCCGCCACGCCCTTCAGCTAACTGTCTTGGGAACAGGTTCTCAGTGCTACATCGAGTGGTTTGAATCCAGGTGCAAAATTTGATCGTGTATAGTCCGGGTGAGGGTAGCCCTGCGAAGAACTGCTATGGAAACGCTAGTCAGGACGACCCTCACTCCGACGAAGGGATAACGCTCGAAACGTCAGATTTGAAATTCTTTACGGAGGCCAATTTACGTTATTAACTCAGTTGACAATACTAAATTACCCTGTTATACTCTTTCTTCGACGCAGCACCGCAGTTTCTTTAGAAACTTACCCCCTTTATTCATCTACCCTCACCTGGACGACCAAATTACAAGTTCGGTTTCTCAGTGGATGGAACAAATAAATCCAACATCTTTCCCATCCCAAATTTCTTTTCAATACACTTTTCCACCTGGGCTTTGTATCTAAAATCCTGAGCTTACTAAACACACTTTAGCTGCGAGTTGCAAAACAGACAAACAAAGGCTAAAAGTACCTGAATTGTTTATCACTTCCATCAGAATCTTGTAGTATCTGAAAAATTCAATTGAACACTACAAGGGCGTTAATTTTACTACATCTATTACTGTGAAAGATACACTGAGTGAAAAATTCACTTCATTGTTGCCAAATTGTGAGATAATTGTGAGGAATGAACTAAATCGACTGCATAACGCCCACAGTCTCCCAGATTACAAGACAAAAACACGGAAGAATTCAGTTCTTGCCTCAATATTTAGTAGCGAAATGTTAGCAAAGTATATTAACATAACCCAATGGATAACATTAAAGACAATTTCTCATGTTAGGAAAATATTAGAAGTTAAATCGTTACACTAAGTAACCTTACGCTCAAGAAGCTCAGATCACAAATGAAGAATGTTATATTTGCACGCTTTGCGTATGACGTCATCCACCTACTCTTAGTAACACATTATGCGACAATTTGAAGGTTCGTCATTGAATTTTCCCCATCGTGCAAGAGGGGTTGGAATCTGAAATCGAGGTTACCATTTTAAAATTTGAAAAAGATGTCTTGCGTATCTAAGTGGCTCTCAAGTTACTCAGCTTCCTGACACACTTTTCCATCAAAATTGAACCTCAAAGCTCCTACCTCTTCCTGTGATAACTTTTCAAGCGGTTGACTGCGCTTGCCTTCATTGTTCATGAAAATTTGTATTGATAGATATATCCATATTTGTATTCATAATTTAATATACAGCGACGTGATAAATTACTCGTGGTCATTTTTGATCTTATTTATATTGCGTCGTAGAGAAGAGTAGAGGGCACACCTCATTCTAATCAAATTACCACTGTATTAGTGAGATTTAAACATGAAACGGCACTTAAAATAAATTTTAAAAATTATCGGTTATTAACTTTCTGAAGGAGTGCCTCATTTGTTCGCCTTCAGTTACAGAAATACACTGCCAGAATTATAGAGCTCTGATCTAAAAATGTTGCAAACGAAATTTATTTTTCTCTTAAATATGCGTAGAATTAAAGGAGGACTCGAAAGAGAACCCAGCGGTGAAATAACACAAATACTGAACACCAGAAGAATTATAAACCGTTTATTCTTTACTTGTTCACTATTTTTCACAAGTAAAATTAACTTCCTTCTCGCAACATCCATGTCTCAGCATAAGATCATTTCGCTGGACAATTAATTGGTATGAAAATTCAATATAACCCGACATACGGAACGAAAATATACATTTCAAGACTCTTTAGCGCCTGATGACGGTAAAAAAAAACGTACGACATCAAAAAACCTAGAAGTGTCTCTGAACAAAATAATGAAATATGAAATATTACACCACCTCTTATTACAGATATGAAATATCGAGCACTTTCAATTGGTTTCTACTTCAAAACATTACAGCCTTTTATTTGCTCTGTTCAATATCTTTCCAAAACTAGAGATTTCTGCCATGCTTGCCTCACATTAACAGTACAACACTTATACACAACGGCCTATACACAACTCCTCTCTTGCACTAGGTGCTGTGTCACAGCGCACAAAATGGCTTCAAACCATTTCTTTACCAAAGTAAAGTAGCTGGTTAACTTTTAGGCTTTCCTACTTTACAACAATGCATTTTAAATCTTAACAAATATTCTTACTTTGGCCTTTGGGCAGAGTAGAAAATTATTTATGGAGTTAAATTAATTAGTTTATTTATTCTTTTATTCAGCGACTGAAGCCATCGACATGTGACGAATCTTTCTTCTTTCTGTGGGGAAAATCAAAAAAACTCTATTTAACCCTTGTAATCTTCATTTCAATTTTGTGATCTGAATTTCTATTATCTTGGTCCAAAGTTACGTGCAATAACATTAAGCAACCTAGTATCTCATATCAAAAATAACCAAATAGAATTTTCGTAAAATAATGATGTCTTTCTTTTATTTAAGTCCAGGGATAACACTTTAGTTCAACTCGAGGTAAAAACATCTTCTAAGAAACGGACTGCACTCATAAATATTGGCTTTATTTGAAGAGGGTTACCATTGACAGAGCTAAAACCACTGATGACCTCGTAAACACGTTTAAATCAATTTATGTTAAAGGTGCTTTAAATATTTTAATAAACATAATGATATTATGGTTTACATGGATAAAAATTCATTAATAAGATAAAATAACAACTTGTTTTTTATCTTTTAAATTAACCATAAAAATGCTGACAAATTGATTACTGACGACACAGATTTCAGAATAAAACAGTTGTATAACCTTAAAGCATATTTATCTTCGTGCGGTGCAAAGACATAAATTTGATACTAACAAAAACAAAATATTCTTCGGGTACACCTCCATCGTGTTCTCCGTGAAAGAAATGTTATTTTCTTTGAGTTGACATCGAATGCTTCAAACTGCCGACGAGGCCAAGTCGAACGAAATTGGCTCAGCGTTGAAAATAAGTACAAAAACTGAGCGTTTCTCCAGCAGGACAAATTCATCGGTGTAAAACTTCTTTGACTGGATACAAACAGCACGAGCATCTACTTTTTAAATTTCAGCTTCAAAACTTGAAGAGCAGCTGGTTAACAGGATTGCACAGCAGAAACTCGAGATTGTTTTCGTTTGACTTTGTCATTCAAAAAATGGAAAGTGGTGAACGCTAAACGCAAGAATTAGAAAGAGCGTATGTGAATCACGATTTTAAAAAGGCGTGCAAGAGGAGCAATTAGAGGCTTAACAAATATTTACGATTAACAGCTTCTAATTTAGGGTAACAAACCCTTCTGTCGTTTGCAGTCCTTGAGATTCATTACATAACAGTTGATGAATGAATTGCAATAAATTGCTTCTATAACTGACACGAGGCAACAAAACCCGAGGTCTGACCAACCTCGCTTTCGTGCAACCAAACCGACGCCGAACAAGTAGTATGCCATATTTTCATTCGGTGTATTACATAAAGCTAAGAGGAGTCGCGACTCCTCCTGGATAAAAAATGGTAAAGCTCACCACAGTAACCACAGCGGTCTCCCGTCAGCCATGCGCAAGTTGATCAACTTTGGCTAGCCACGCGCCAGTTTCCCGCGCAAAATGTCACAAGAAAATAAATAGTAATTTCTCAAGTAAGTGTCTAAGTATGATAGAACATGTTTAGCTTACCAATCAGGGGAAGTTACACCTTCCTCTTGACTTCCTAAAGGCGACACACTCAGACCGGAACTTGAACCAGACCCTGTGGAATGTCTAGGTGATTCGTCCTCGGGAAGATTTAATAAATCCTACAAAACGAAACAAATAACACGTATATGACGAGCTTACATTGACCAATCATCAAAAGGTGTTAGGATTCGTAGGCAGCGGAGAAGCCGCGAGGCAGCAGCAAGGGGCTGAAGTAAGCAACGGAGGAAGGATTAGCTGGAGGTCACAAATCGAGAGGGCTAAATTGAGAGTTGGTCAAATCTGATAGCGAAGTACGCTATAGGGCAATATGACCCTGAATTTAGGATTAGACTTCACTACTTAACCCATTTGTTCCCAATATCTCAATGGAAATTCTCCTTACTACCTGCCTCATATTTCTCACAAATTTTGTTCTGAGAATTTCGTGTTGGAGCAAATGATAATCCCCTTGTTAATGTTTTTCTTTATTCTCCACACCCGTCTCCTTGATTTTTTAGAAGAAATTCTGTCTCGGTTACTCATGGAAGTGAAATTGTTAACAACTACAACATGATCTTTTAGGGCCACTCGTTAAAAACCATTCCACAATAACTGCCTTAAAAGAACTTGGACATAGATACAAAGATAATTGTGCTAAAAATCACTTATTTATGTGCAAAGCTGAGACAAAAAACCAAGTTACTAACACAACGTGCGATTATTTTGGTTAGCACAGCGAACCATTTACCTTGACTTCAAAATAGTTTGCATTTACTGCTAAATAAAATAAGTTAAGATTTCGACATAAGCGTAAAATAGGACATTTGGTTAAGTTAACAAGACGCTATGGCGGTTAGGGTTAAATTGTTATGAACACAAAACCTCCCACACTTTTTTTTAACGCAAAGTACAAAAGACAACCATTCACATTTAGAGTTCACCACTGATTATGGCGAACTGTTAGGAAGAAAAAAAGGGAAAAATAAAGGGGAAAGGTGAAAACTGCTTCTCATCAAGGGTGTGTGCGTTGGTAAAAGGAAAGTTTTACAGTGTTGATTGAGAGGACATGGACGACTGTCAAGTACTCAGCCAGTCAGTAATCAGATGTCTTCGTCAAAGTTATTAATCAGCTATCAAATATATTTAAATAAGATTAGTGATCATTTGTTGAACTAACAAGCAGTCGCAAACGAGCCAAACTCCACGAAACCGAAGCAAACCAGCGATATCCTTTTTCATCTTCTAGCTAATTTTGCAAAACTCTCCAGCTTCTTCCAAAAACAAAAAATTCCCCGAACAACTTCAGTCAAATCATCCGATCAGTGACCTGGGTTGCTGCCTCAGCTTCGTCCATCAGAAAAATCTAACAAAAAGATTTACTATGGCTACAAATGCCGACCCGTGAATTTGTGCTGTCACCGTCATGACTCAGTTCCGCATGCCTTTTACTCAACTCCAAAGCTAAAGCCAGATGCCTCTGCTCATCTGCAACACTTTTTGGTCTCAAGGTATTGAAGTACTAGACAAGAAAACAGGTTCACATCACAAGTGATATTAACCCTACTGCTTTCAAAAACACGCCTTCTTTCTCTCTCTTTTTTCTTCCTTTTTCTTTTTTTTGGTCTCTTAAGAAAGATCAGTAAAACGGAGGGCGGGATTGGCGCGAAAAAAAAAAAAAAGAGAAAAAATAAAAATTAAGCGTGTTCCACCGGCTACTATTTTAAGGGGCAAAAGCTCCGCTGTAGCATTACTTTCATAAAATCTTCTCGTAACATACTGGAAAAATTTAACATATGCCAAGTACAAAAGCAAGAGCGGAGCGAGCGGAGGCAAGCACGCATAACAAGTCGCGCATCTCGCTTCACACTTGCCTCCGGTCGACTGAGTAGGCAAAACGATGACGCCTGTCCGGCAGGCTATGAATTTTACGCGAACACGAGAAACTCAATGGAAGAGCACAAATGAACTCCCATTTTTTTTCTCCCCTTTTTCTTTACCTGTGCGTAATTGTCGAGATCGGCAGAGAGCCGGTTTGAACCATTTGCTACACGGCCATCATTTGAAACATCTTCCGCTGACCGAGTGGACGATGATCGCGGTCTAGGGACTGGCGGAGAGGCTTCCGCAGAACTAAACAGGAAAGTAAAAAAGTAAGAAAAAAAATTAAAATTTAAACTTGCAGTGTTTGTATTTTTTCCCTTTCATTTCTAAATGCGAATCAATGTAGACAAAGTACCTGTTTACAACATTCATGGATGCCGCTCTGCCGTTTACCATTCCTTGCGCAGGTCCAGCCGGTTTCAGACCCTTCGCTGCTACGTTGGGCCGCGTCATGAGACTGGGATTTGCAGTGACAGCGCGCTTGGACCTGGGACCTATTGAAGTGTTACGCGGAGCCACTGTATAAAAAAATTATCAATATAGATATAAATAAAATCACGTGGTAAGTTGACGGTAATATAAAAAATAACCTTTAACAGGAGGGGGAGAAAATACCTTGAGGAGCTTCCTCGTCAGTCCCGCGTTGGCCCTAAAACGAAAAAATCTTGATGTTAAAAGCTATCATAACTCATTTAGAGTCATGAAAAGTCAGAAGTGTATTTGTTTCTTCAGCTTAGTAGCAGATGAACTAGTTTTTATCAAAATAGTGTTCCTGGTTTTTGCTCGAAGGCATGTCCATTTAACTAACCCTCATTAGAAAGATTTACAAGTGATTTATATTCTTAGTTTCGGTTGTTTGTGATGGCAATGGAGACTAACCCTTGGTAACTCTTTAATGATTTGAAATCCATCTCCAGGACCCATGTGTGAGATATGGTTGAAGTTGGTTGGTCCTGAGATGAGCTTTGATTTGATATCTGCATCCATATCTGCTAAGCCACCCTCTTTGACTTTAAATCCAAATCGATATGAACTACTGCAGACAGACAGGAAGAAAAGGGAATTAGTTCCAATAGAAAGTGACCGAGGAGATTTCCATTCGGGTAGTAAACCCGATGAGGATTTTCTTCCAAAACGAACCGCGCCTTTTTTCCCTCTAGCATATTGTAAGAGGATAAGCAAGTTCCTTATTAAAAGGGTCAACTTTTACTTGGGAGAAAATGGATTCTTCGATTTGCGGAAACAAACTCAGCGGGTTAACCACGTAGTTCCTCATGACGTATGGTGCATGGGAGACTAACCAAATGGGAGAGTCATTTTCCAATAATTCCGGTAAAATTAAGAAAAGACGAATATCGCTTGAGGAATTCTTTTTTTTTTTCCGAAAAACATTTGGTGAGAAGCCTCACACCAACCTTCTCTTGCTGCTTTTCAGTCTTAAAATAGCCGCAAGGGCTTTCTTTCCTTTATTGGGGTCTGGAATGATCAGTTCCTCTTCTGTACAAAAAAACAACAACACAACAACGATTCAATTTCAAAATGGAAAAATATTGCAACTACTTCCATTACACTTTTACACCCTAACATCAGTCTACATATTCTCCCTACTTTTATCGATATTTCTTATGGTACTGACGAGGAGAATTCGTAACAATCAAAGCTTCTTAGGTTGGTGATCACTACCTTTTTTTCTCATGATCATAAAGAACGATTCACCAGTAAGATTGTACGGAGAAATTAAAAGCTGGTCACTCTTTGGGTTCAAAGGGTTAATGTTCAATTTAACCAAGAGAATATACAAACCTTCAAACAGAGTGTTCTTGAGGTAAACTAAATTGCATTGTTCTGAAGCGGTGCACAGAGCCAGTGAGCCATCATTGATCAAAGCATGACACTGTAAGAGAGAGACGTAGAGTGCCAATAGTCAGCGAAGAAGAATTCCCAACCAAGGATCAATACCAATAGAGCTCTTATCGATTAAGCGCCGCAAAAACCAAAACCAAAGTAATCAACGACCAATCAGAAGAAAAGAAAAATACCTTTGAGAACCAATGATGAACTCAAAGTAAAAACAACCAAACTGCATGAAGCGCGGGAAAACCGCGGACGACCAATTCGTGATTGGTTTCAGTTTTGCATTTGATTGGTTGAGAAAGTGGCAAGAGTTTTCTGGACCAATCACAGAACGAAGTAAGGCAAAACCAATACAATCCAGTATTTCGACACAATAAAAAATTGCTCTAAATATTCCATTTATAATAAGACACGGCAACACTGTTTACAGTAAATAAATCAGTTACGTGTCGTTTGAACAGGAAAATGCATACGATTTATCGCAAGGGAGAATCTTCTCTTTAAAGTCTAAATTTCTCTGCTTAAAATCCATGCAACTTTTTTTCTATCTCTTTAAAATGAAAATCGAATTACTAAGAACCATAACAATCAAAAAATTTCTACCTTTTTGAGGGGGATGGTCTGAAGCCATTCTGCACTACTTGAGTCAAAGATATCTATCGCTCTCTCACTGAAGGAGATCACGTACGGATACGAATACGCTAAAGTAGAAGAAAAAAAAGTAAAACACTTTATTTTTCAATGACGCTATTTTTCTTGCGCGGAATAACGGTGGGCAAGAAAGGCCCGTTTTGCTCGCTCGGGCAGCCAATCAGAACATAGGATTCGCTTCATACTGCCCACGGGTGCTGCCAGCGATAAAATAAATTAACCTTATTTCCCTCCACTAAGTAGCGGGGGTTATTGATACAATAGAGACACTTATTACATCACCTGAGCTTAAAAGAAAAAATACACCATCGTTGACAAACAGGTTCATTGGGAATGTCTACAAACCCTTTTCACATTTTACTTCTCTGGTTTTTATCGCTTTCGGAAACCTTCCGAGAAATTTGTGAAAGGCGAACAAGACGAGATTTAACTGAAACCTTAGAACTGTTCCATGGTCCATGGTCCATGGTTTCATAATTTGCATCAACAGCATTTTCTTACAGAATCTGGTACAAGTTACTGATTTTCTGTTCGACACAGATAACTTGATTTTTTTTCTTTTTTTCTTTTTTTAACTTACCGACATTTGTGGGCGGTGATGGCCACATCAGCTCATAACGTCTTGATCTATAACCACTGGCCTCAACGAAGATTCCTAGTACTGGAAAAAAATAGCTTTAATCAATAAAATAATATTTTTTCATTTTATATTAGGCGAAACTAGTATTTTCTCAATTTAAGACCTACATTTTACACCCAAATCTAAATAATCATAGTCGGTGTGAAAAGAAACATAAAACATCATTTTTTTGATTCCGCACAATTTGTTCAACTGTGATCTAAAACTTGTCAGTCCACTCGCGCGGTCAATCGCCTGGTTCAGAGTGAAGGCGCAAGGTAGAGGAAAAGGCCCTGGGCTCTAATGTGGTGACTTGTCCTTAAGACTAGCTCATTTCCTCAAAGACACATATCTAATCTCCGCGAAAATGAATAAAACAAAGCCACCATATCTGCAGTAGCTCTCAGAAAAGAGATAAACATTATATGTATGATTTTTCTTTTCTAATCCGTCAAACAAACTCGCTCATGCCCTAATATACTTACAATTAAAACACAACAGAAATTCTTTGTTTGTTTCGATCTCCACAGCAAGCAAGGCATCCAGTGGGTTATTGGTGATGAAATTTAATGTCGGGTCATCTGAGTTAACAAGTTCTAAGGGAAACAAAAAAAAACGCAAATCATGATTAAGACGATGTCCATAAGACACGGCTGGAGAAAAAATTGAGAATTTAGCAAAATTAGAGAGTGGTCCACACATTTAAGATTGCATATATGAAATCTCTGGTATACCGGAAATCTTCCAGAGAAAGAAAACCTCCCGGTCTCCCGAGCAGTAAATTTGGTAACAATTTTACAGAAGAGGACGGTGATGATGGCGATGCTAAGTACATCAGTACTTAGCATCGCCATTAAAAAAAAAAGGTTAGGATGTTCTATTCAAGAATAGTTGTATTTCGTGTACCTTTTTGTTTGGATTAAGTCAGTCATTTGTTTCTAAAAAAAAAAAACAAAAACAAAAGAGAAAACTTACTCTGAGGTCTTCCCTCTCCTGTAATACTATAAACAGCAAACCCGGAGACGTATCCAACAAGTAACTTTCCAAATGACACTCCTAACCATTGGATGTTAAAGTTCACCGGTGTTTCCTAAGAAAAAGAAAACACCTTGAAAGTTAACATGACGTATTTCATGTTACTATCATCACTTAGGACTTGTGCTGACATGTTACAGAGCAATTTTCAATTGAATATCGAAAGTAATCCGATGTGGAATTGGTTTACTTCACTCAGTGATTGGTCCAGAAAACGCGTGGAACGCGTGGATTCATAACTAACACCACTTGCCAGTTTGTCACTCGCGTTTTCCCGCGCTTCAGTCAGTTTGCTTGTGTTTACTTGAGTCCTCATTGGATCCTTCTGTTATTTTTCCTTTTCTCATTGGTTGTTGAGATAACGTTTGATATGGTTCCACAAAACTCAATCGAAATGTGGCACGTAGGAGCTTACATTTAAATGCAAGTTTAAATGTAAGCATATAGGAGCTTACAATTGTCAGAGTTTTTCATGTTTCACAAGTCCGTCCAGGTACAAACATTACTTGCACCAAAAGGTACAACAGTGTGCATCAGTAAATTTACCTTGATCTTCAGATGTCTGTACTTTGTCCGATTCAGTTCGTAGACATAAATATGCCTCTTGACTGCCGCGCAGAGGCAAGTCGCTGTGTTATCATGAATACTTCCCGTGGCAAACATTAGACAATTTTTCGCCTCTGGAATTTTAATTGGTTCTGTGTCATGTCCATCTACTGCAGACAATGGATAGAGTCGTATTTGACGATTCCTTCCTAAAACACAAATGATAACACAATGTTTTAGTACATTCCCTGATGACACACTTTACTCCAAAGGACACTTTACATTCTTTGACGAAAAACTTAACCCTCATTTCGCAGAAGTGAAAATCCATTCCTTTTTGTACGATTTTTCTATTTTTGGATCATAATTTACCTGATATTAAAACGAGAAGTTGCTCATCTGGTAACATCTCTATCTGAGACACCTTCTTATTGTCACCAATGCGGGACGAACCTGAAATTAAAACGACAAAATGACAAATAAGCACAAGAAACATGAAAATTGAGGAATAAACTTAGGTCTTTGAGACTGCCCCAAGTTGGTGCATCTTATTCCTTCAGTTAACTCGGAAATAGCTGCTCCAGCCTTTCAGATAGTAGAAAGGAGCCCGATAGAGAAAGGAGGTCTGGGTACGGTAAAAAAGAAAGAGAGAGGTCTGGGTCGGGTCGCGTTCCGAACGCCTGGAACAGGTACTTACTTTCTTTCATCAATTCAATGCAGAAGAGACCATCTTCTGTACCCAAACACACTCGGTCAGTGTCTATTATTGTTGCACAGAGTGCTTGTTTGATTTGTGGATTGGACTCGGTGACTTCTTTGGCCTGGTAAACTTGCTGTATGTAGAACAAGATCACAAAGTGTCAACTATAATATACAAGTGTCTCTTATCATTTAGGAGAAATACAACTCAAATTTCCAGCACAAATTGGAAAAAAAAAGCACATCTTAATTCTTCCTCTTATCTTAAGAGGAAGATAACACAGTAACCAACAACGAGATTGCCTTCTTTAAAAAGTATGTACAGCACAAGAATATTAGGTCAGAATTAAGACGAAGGCAAAAAACTAGCAACCCGACAAGATCCGATCCGACCCGACCCGACCCGACCCGACGAGACACGACCCTAACCTCCCATGTTTTTACTCATCCGCTACTGTTGCGTCGTCTACCAAAAATACTAGTACTCCGTTTAAAAAAAACAAATTTAGACACATGTATCAAACACAGTGACCCACATTATAAAACCTAAAGGAAACATAATATGAAGAAGCAAGCAGTCTGAAAAAATGTAAAAACTACACTCTCACTATAACAGAGAATACCCCTGTATATGTCTTTAAAAACGTGTTTACCGTCTTGGAGGTCTCCTTATTTTCTTTGAGGGCTTTGTGTAACTGTTGCAGAGCATTCACCCATTTGACCCTGTCATTTTCACTTTCTGTTAATATCAGCTGTGTTAGAGATTCTCCTGGAGGGTTCATCTGAGAAGCCGTGATCTAAAAGAGACCAGCTTGTTAGTGACACCACTGCATGATGCCGATGGCTATGTTTCACTACCCAAGTATTGGATGGAAAAAATATATATATATTTACATACCCTAAAAATACACATTATGTCTTTTTTACTTGCGTGAATAACATCTGAAGCGAGCACCCCGCTGACTGAGAACTCTTCATCTCTGCAAAGAACGAAGAGTAATTTCGTGAAGATCGAGTCTTTTACAATAAACTTACATCAAGCACAATAAATTCCATTAAGTTCATTTATAATGAAACTTGACTTTAAAAATAACTGTTCAGACATTTTATACGTGAATGAAACAAAAATGCCATACTGTCGAAAAACGAGCTGCTGAACAATTACATTTCCGGGTGGTAACTTAAAATTCAATTTTCTTATCAAAAGAAGTTAATTTGAGATTGACATAACAGGGCGTGAAATTAACTTTTTTTTCTGATAGCCACTTGGCTCCTAAATTCTTCAAAGTGGTAGCCAATTCAAAAAAAGTTGGTCGCCATTTTCAAAGACAAACAAAATCTTTCTTTACGCTGTCAGCGTTCTAGATAGACCCTCCAAAATTAAGTTAGGGAAAAGATCTTTAACGTGCTACAAAGTGGACACTAGGATGGATGATATACAACGTTCAGGCTCATCTAAATCCAAGATGGCGTCTAGTTATCGATCGAGATGCATGTGCTACGTTTTGGAAACAAACTTAACGAGGAAGTTTGCCGCGGATTTACCTTTGCAAATCTTTTTAATGCACTATATCTCTTGGTAAGGTTATGATGAAACGTTCTAGTCGCCAATTTGGCGACTTACTTTCAGGATTTGGTCGCCAAAGTGAAAAATTTAGTCGCATTGGCGCCTGTATTAGGCGCAATTTCACGCCCTGTCATAAAGTGTAGTTGAGTAAAAAAGCGACGTCACCAAAATGGTTAATCTTTCACATCCTAACATCAGCATGCAAATTCTCTCCACACGTATCTCTTTACATTTCCCGTCGTAGTGACGAGAATTTGTTAAACAATGAAAAGCGTTGTTAGTAGTGACCATTGTCTTTATTCTCATGACCTAAATGTTTGATTCAGGGTTTATGTTGTGGGGAGAAATACGATGCTGGTCACTCTGGGGGTTATAAGATTGATCAAGGTAACTAGGTAACGTTTGTGCAGCGCTCACCTCATGTCAATAACTTGTGTCGCTGATTGAGAAATCTGCGGGGGTTTGTCACCAGTTACATCAAAAAGGAACAATTTGAAGTCACAGATGACAGCGAATTGTCGAAACCAACCTTTTTTGATTCCGCCTGGCTTAGGAATCTAAAGACAATAAAACAGCTAAGTAGAGGAAACCAGCGACCATCTAGTAAAACTGATAATACAGCATAAAAGCGTATCACTTCCTGTCAATACAAATTTCTGTCTGAAGACGTCATTTCCGTCCTTTGACCCTTAAGTCTTCCTGCTCAGGGTGACAATGTGACTCCTTGCACGAGACTGCGTGACACTTAGGCCGTGACAAAAAGATTGCGCAATATCAAAACGCCATCTACGAGGACAATCCGGCCATGTGATTGGTTTATTTGTACCACGTGATGGAAAATATTATTCTCTGATTGGCTATGTACCAATGTGCCCCACACACTACTGATGAAGCAAAAAGCAAATTGGACATGTTACTGAAAAGAGAATAATTTCTGACTTGGGTTACCTTCACAATTCCTTCATAAGCAGTTCCAATTCCTTTTTCAGGGTCAATTCCTAGCGGCCTTCTATTCACTACACAAAGAAGAAAGAACAATGTCAAGCAAAATTACTAATACACAAAATATTTCTACATCGATTAAAATAAGCCAGTTGTTGGAAACACTTACTTTGACTCGGAGGAATTGGACAAACAGGAGGAGCTTGATCAGTGCAGGACACATGGCAAGCGTATTGACACACTAAACAACAACAACAAAAAATAATGACGAAGGGTTAAAAAAAATACTATTTTGGAAATAACACTGTGAGAGAGTGAAAACATTTCCAAGTACTGAGTTTGACAAAGGTATACTCTAACTCAAAAAAATAAAAATCTTATCATTAACAAGACCTTGCAATAATCTGAGCAGGGCTATGGTAACTTAAAGTAACAACATAAAAATTGTTTGGTCGGGTCTCCCATTTTTACTTTTTACAATCACCATATTTGGAATGAAGTAGAGGGTAGCCTTTTTTCGGAAATCTGCACAAACAAGTTCAAATCACAAAACCTCACCTTCACATATGGAACCTTGCCTGACCAAACCGATCATTAATGATGTACACTGGCTGCACTTGGTAGGTGTAGTGAAGGTTCTTACAGAGAACTTGTGCACTCGAGGCTGGTGAGAAAAACAGAGCTGCATAAGTATAGAAAACACTGAGAAGGTGAAACAAGAGGTAACAAAGCGTGTGTGCACTAGAAAGTGAGAGGTATAGTTACGCAAAATTGAAAACTTATTAGCAAGAAATACTAAGCTTCAATAAGGTAAGTTCTAAACAAAGCAAAAAATGAATTGTGCCACGAGATAATGAATGCTTTGCCTTATCGTTTTAAACAATTTTCAACTGAGTGTCGAAATGTTTCCGTTATTCCAATGGTTTCCATTGGTAATTGGTCCAGAAAACTCGCGTCACTTTCTCAACCAATCAGATGCAAATGTAACATCAATTACGACTTGGTCGCCTGCGTTTTCCCGCGCTTTAGGCAGTTTGGTTGCTTAAACTTTGAGTTCTCTTTAGTTCTTTTCCTTTCTTCTGATTGGCCGATTTCCTTTAGTTTTAGTTTACGACACTCAATCAAAAGACGTTTTAACAGTCAAGGTAAAGTAATAGATGATGACACCATAACAAGACAGTTCACCTGAGGTGGTGCGATGGATGACACAGATGATATGGATGATCTTATTGAAATGGACTGATGGAAAATAAAAGCAAATCAAATATCAGCATTTAATGAATTATGTGCGTGTTGTGCAACGGAAACAGATCCGTTATCGTTAGAGGTCGTTATTAAATGCTGTCATTTCACCTGACAAATCCACTCCCACGAGCGGCTGAAGGAGAACTTGCTTTACAAAGCCAAAACATTTTCAAGCAGAATGGTGATTACAAGCGAGATATGAGCTGCAGAAAAATGCATAACCCGACCCCAAATTCTCAAAATGGAAGTCAAAAGAAATGTATGACAGATAGTGCGGAGAATTGATATTCAGATACTGGAAACAGAAGGAAGACACTTACATCAGGAGGAGCAGTCGAGGGAGTGCTACTCGAACGAGACCTCTGATTCTCGCTCAGTTGGCCATCTATCTCCTATTCAAACAAGCGAGAACAGAAAAACAGCAACAAGAAAAAAACATCATTAATATTGCTGAACTTTCAAAACTAAGTTTTCCTCTTGTTTATTGTTGCGATGAGGTAAGTTTCTTAAGAAACTGTGGTCCTGTGTCGGTGGGAGAGCATAACAGGGTAATTTGGTACCATCAACCGAGTTTATAACGTAAATTGGCCACCGTAAAGAGTTTCAAAGCTGACGTTTCGAGCGTTACCACTTCGCCATTCACTCTGACGAAGGGCTAACGCTCGAAACGTCAGCTTTCCTATTGAAACAAGCAAGAACAGAAAAACAACAACTGGAAAAATCGTTAATATTGCTTAACTTTCAAAACTGAGTGTTTCGGTCGTTTCTTATTTCACTTTCTTTGTGAATTTGTTTGGTTTACCTGTTAATAAGATTACGTTGGCTTTACTCGACTTTGCTTAGTGGTCCAAAAAAACTCGCGCCAATCAGATACAATTCTAGCTCCAATCGCTTGTGCACCCGCGTTTTCCCGCGCTTCAGGCGGTTTGCTCGTTTTCACTTGGAGATTTAATTGGCTCTTACAGGTATTTTCCTTTCTTCTGATTGGTAGTTGTAATTTCTTTAGTTTTGGTTTTAAGACACTCAAATAAGGAGCGCTCTTATCCTCAAAACTAAACGACTCCTTGCGTTCTTTACAAATCAAGTAAATGAAAACAAATGAATACCTCTGACAATCCTTCCAGTCTTGAGTCTCGCGAAGTTTCTCTCATGTACAAGAAAGGGAATCCATCTGTTAAAAAAAAGCAACAACGAAACAAAGAGAAAAATTAATTTATCCGGTAATCACACGCAGAACCATACCGCCCTCGCGCAAAACATTTTGAAGTAAAGGGTTTAACTCATACCTTGGCAACAAACATTTAGAAATAAGAACACGAAAAAAATGCCAATGCTCACGGCAACAAAACTGTATTTACGCAAATTGCAGGATTTTCTTAAGTCAAAAAGAACTTTGATCTAATTTTTCCTTCATAATATCCTTAAATTAATACTGTTGGAAAATCCCTTCTCCATAGTTAATAAGAATATTTCAGCTTCAGCGTAAAAACTGCTGAAAGCAGACGGATAGAGCATTTGCCCAAAACATCTCGCTTAATCTCTTTATTATGAAAATCTGGGTAAATTCCACATTATTTCTGTTTAAAAAGTAAATTAAATCTTACTTCCAGATTTGCCACCAACTTTCAGTTGTTCGATTTCTGCTTTGAGTTGCTTGACTTCATCACGAAGAGTATTGCACTGTGCTTCAGATTCACCCAATTTCCTATAATCATTCATAATAATCAAAACTCAACTCAATAAATTAGCAATAATTAAGAATTACATTTCCCAGGAAAATAGTCACCCGACAATTACCTGGTGAACTTATTTGAAACAAATTTAAGTGTTTACAGTACCGACAGACGTTTTGTACTCAGTTCAGTCGAACACAAGCTCAGACGATTTGCAACCAGTTTGGGTCGGTCGTAGACATCCCAACATTCAATGAGGATCAAAATCCAGGAGATGTCACGAAATAACTCGTGTGCGAGTGCGCGAAGAGATGTCGATTGTTACTTACAAGTTAAAAGAGAGTCAGGCGAGTAAGATATAAGCAATGTTTTGCTGTGTATCCTTGTGACCTTCTTGAAAATAACAACTAAACTACTGCCAAGCGCAAGGTAAGTGCGATATTTTAAATAGAACAATGTACTGTTTATACTCGCGAGTATGGGTACGAAACGAGTAAATTGTCTGAGTACGAATGCGGCTGTAGCTGGGTACAAATCGACTGATTACAAAACCTCTGCGGGTATAAAACAACCAACAAGCATATCGTCATACCTCGCAGAAATGATAAATCTAGCAGCATAAACTGATTTTGTATTAGCTTTTGCCTAGTAGGCTATCATATTTTTAAAGCATCATTTCAGCTCACCTCTCATTTGCTACATTAGCAGCTTTCATTTTGTTCAGTTCCTCCATCAATTGCTGCTTCGCCTGAATCTCAGCTTGAAGGTTCGACTGCAGGGTCAATATCTCTTGTTTGTCGACTTTCTGTGACCTTCTCATTTGCCACTGGTTCTTTTCACCCTGCAACATTTGCAAGAATAAAATGGAATGAAATTTATTTCTATGCACAACATACCACACAATATTTCTTAACTAGAGCCAGTAACAAAAAAAGTTGATTTGTCATTTGGGCAAAAGGAAATATTAAAAGATAAATTGCCAACCATAAAGCTTGTTTCAAAAGCAGGCCACAGGATCAGCTGTGTCTTTTGTATTTGTTTGCCTATTTTAACAAGGGTTTCAATAAAAGTATTTTATCAGGGGTCTACCGCCGCCTATGAGACGCTGACCGCTGTCTGTTGAGCCTGCGAGCAGGCACTCGTGTTTGGATTTCACCTTACTGCCCCTTTTTGGGTACAGTCCCCTTTTACGCCCGAAGCTGCCACTCATAGAAAAGTTTTACTGAAACCATTGATTTAAATTGTATTGCTAGAGACTATTTAATGACTGATAAACCAATACATACCCTTGGTATTGTAGCATACCCTGAAGATTTCAGGCCATCCAGTTCTTCTGTCATTTTGCTAGCTAAGGCCTGAAGATAACCTCTCGCCTCCTTCTCGTCACTTACCCTTCATTGAAAAATGAAAAAAGAAAGAGGAAAAAATTAAAAGGAAACGCCATTTTAATACAGTTAAAGCTGTACTTATGGACTATGTTAAGTACCTTTGTTACATAACCCTGCATTAGGCACACAGCTTAATGAGAAAACTGAGTTTCACTTCATTCCAAAAAGTTCGAGCTAACATCATCGTTATTGTTAATTTTTTTTAATCCAGCAAACGTTATTCTTTTCATCAAAAACAGCCATACGAGAAAGTATTTGAATTATTCCATCCATTTGTAGTCTTTGAGTCCCACGATCTGATTATCAATTCTCCCTTCTAATTGCTACACATTTCCTTGTAAATAAGTTACGAGAATTTGATGTTAGATCAAGATAACAACTTCTACCTGATCAGTTTGAGTATTCTCGTTACCTGTTTGCTGGATAATGTATGGATATCATGGGGAGAAGATACACGTTAATCAATCGTGTGAAGTTAAAATAAAGCTGGGCTAAAACATACCACTGAATAATCTCAGCTATCTGAGCTTCCCAATGAGCCACAGCGTCTTTCTTCTCGTTGCTGTCCCTCATTTCTTCCTCAAGTTTACGATGAGCAGAGGTAGTACGTTTCAAAGTTTCTGTCATCTGCAACATTCAAAGCAGTAAATAAGAATCAAGTGTACCACTTAGTTTGAATAAAATGTGATACAAAAATTGGTTGCAGCTTAAAAAACTTGAACCCATCTGTTAATTAGGGACCAACAGGTTTTGGATTGGATTTCCAAAACTCAACAAGTACTGATTCAACTGGAAGAGTAAAATATGTTACTAAAAAAATATTCTTCTAGCTGGGTGAGCCTCTAAATAAACTCCCCCCCCCCCCCCAAAAAAAAAAAAAAAATTAATTAAATAAAATAAATAAAATAAAATAAACAAATAATTACTTATGCAGGTGGATTTCATCTTCACACCACCAAAATATCAAAATACTTAAAAGATGGATGAGAGAAATAAAGGCAGTTTTTTTTTTCACTTTAGAGATAAATCAATCACTGCAAACCTTTTCAACGTCAGTTTGTAATTTCTTGTTCTCCTCTTCTAGGATGCCCATGGTTCTCTCACTCTTTCTCCTCAATTCTTCCATGGCTTCTTGATGTTCTTTGACACTAGAATGACAAAGCAGATAGTTAGCAATACATTCGTTAATAATACATGTATCAAAGTAGACAAAATAATCTTACTCTATATGAACATATGTAAGAATATGCTTTCTTGTATTCTTTACTTAGCGCAAGCAAAGACACACTCCAGGGGAGGGGGACTTCCTAGTAAGAAGCCTATGGAGTTGTGCCGCTAGATGGGGTGACATTTTCATTGCCTTAAATTGCCCTAGATTGTCCTCAATGGGATAGCATTTTCAATAAAGTTTAAAGAATGGGTCACACAATTGCAGGATTTTGGGGGTAAGAAATTCTGGTCAGCAGGGATTTAAAACTGGGAAGATTAACAATTACAAAGTTGTCTGCATTGGGATTATGACAATCACATTTGCTTAAACGTGAGGGGGGGTCTATAATTGGCCATACAATTGCCTATAATGGAGTAGGGATACTGAGATTCCAAAACTTGACCAAGTATCCCCACCCCCACCCCCATGACACTATCATTGACAGATTCCACAGGACAACTAAACGTTTCACTGTACCTGCCCCTTAACTAACAATCAAAACGTGATGGTTGAGCACAGAAAGTAACATCATTTACCTGTCCATGCGTGCTTCATTTACTTTGGCAGTCAGTGCAGAGATCTGGAAGTATATCAAAGACCAACAAAATTAACAAGTCTGCAAGTAGCTAGTGTGACAAGCAAAGAACAGAGGTGCAGATTGAGCTGGTAACACAAATTTAAGATGGCATAAAAATTACCTCATTTTTCAAGCTTTCTCTTGCTGAATCTGCTTCAAGAAGTTTCTCATTTAACTCCTATTAAAAATTAAAAAGGCAGATGATGACTATCAACATTAAAAAAATGAAGTGATCATGAAATAGTGCAACTACTATCTAAATATATGCAAGCTTTGAACAACTCATCATAAAAGTGGAAAAATCAGAGATTGAAGATAGCAAAAGCTCACCTTAATTTCACTAGTATATTTCTGTTGTTCATGGGATGTTGATTCCTCATATTCAAGTTTAATCTTCTCTATCTCTGCTTTGAGTCTGAAATAATAACAATAAACTTCACTAAGCTTGAATCTACAATCATTCAAAGACAAAAGGGACACACCAATTATTACAATAACATATTATCATGCACATTATCATATGGAGACATTTCAAGATCCTGATCCCTTCACTCCCAAGATCAGATTAGTAATTCTCCTTACTATCTGCCATACAATTCTTATGATGTTAGTTAAGAGAATTTGGTATTGGATCAACTAATAATCCCATGCCTGCTTGATATGATATTTGTTCTTGGCCACTTGTGGGAGTGAAAGGGTTAAGAGAAAAAAAGAAGCAGTGTGAAGATTTAAAAAAGAGTAACATTAAACAAAAGTCTATCTTAACTTTCCCATCCCCACTGAAGACCAAAAAGGACTTTTTCTTTACAATAACAATACATTTTCAAGCAAACAGATAATGAGAAGACAGAAGAATATCAACCAAAAGATAATATTTGATTCAAAAACAGATTCACAGAACTAAAGTAAAAGAAATGAAATGACTGGCAGACAGTGCAATTAATGTATATTTTGACATTGGGAAATAATGGGTTTAGGTTAAGCGCTACCCTTAGACTATCAGAGGATTGGAAAGAATGAAGTACATTGGTGCCCCAAAGCTACCAGACAATACCATACTCAATCACAAATGTTTTTGAGATGCAGACAGTAGCCGGACATTAAAAGCTCTCACTTCTGTTCCTCACTAAACCTTTTTGGTTAGCAAAGTTTGGTTTAAAATCCTAAAATGATGACCTCATTGTCAATACATTGGCATCAAAGTGTGTCAGAACTATTTTCATTCTTCTTCCAGTTGCTGTCTGCATTTCAAAATTGTCTCTGCTAAAGTTCTCTTTTGGGACAAGCAAGGTGAAGTGCATTTATCATTTATAAATATTCACTCCTATTCCATAGCCTGAATTACCTTGTGATTTCTTGCTGCTGCTCCTCAGCTGTTGTGTCTGTGGCAAATGGTCTTCCTAGACTTCTCTGTTTGGCCTGAGATAACAATAAAGGTAACTTAATTTTCATCGACATATCCTTGATCAATAGAGCAAATTTTGATAGTAAACCACCAGCAAGTCAATAATTTTATGATAACAATTCTTGTTTCTGCCTACAAAAAGTGTAGCATTTGGCAATTTGACTTCTCTCTCTGTAATTAACAATTGAGGGAAAGAGCCGCTGGATTTCATCTCAAGACAGACAGATACATGAGTACATTTATACTCTGCTTTGCTGACTTTTGAATACACAAAAAACTGTTCCATTTCAAATAAAGGAATACTTGACTTTACACTGTACCTTAAGGTATTCTATTTCCTCCTCAAGTTGCTTGGCATTCTGAAAGAAAGACACCCAAGTTGTAACTCAATGAGCAAGTCCACTTAACCCTATAACCCTTTAATCCCTGAGAGTGACAAGGTTCTAATTTCTTCTTAAAATAATTATCACCCTTGAATAAAAGGTTTAAGTCACAAGAATAAAGGAAAATGATCAAAAACTAACAAAGCTCTTGATGGTTTCACAAATTCTCCCTGTTAGAACCTTGGAAATTTATAGAGAACAGTATGGAGAATATGCAGGATGTAAAAGGTTAACTCCCATGAGTGACTGAGACAATATTTCTCCCAACAATTTTGATACAATATTAAGCAGAGGAGTGATGAGAATAAAGAAAAATCTCTATTAGGGTATTCGTAGTTGATCTAATATCAAATTCTCCAAACTTACAACATATGAATTGTACAGCAGAAAGTAAGGAGAATTACTAATGAGATCTAAGGCGTGAAAAGGCTAACAAAGGGTATTGAGATCTTCATATACTAACATCGACTTACATTGGCTCAGAATTTTACATTAAGGATGGTAATGACTATTACTTCACCTGATCACTCCTTGCTCTTAGTTTCCTTTCCTTGTTAGCTTCTGAGGACATTTCCTCCACTTGCGCAGCAAGCTAATAACAACAAAAACAGATGTAACATTTAAATATTACTTCTTTTCCTCCACTTACAATATTTCATTAAATAGACACATACAAAGACTGACTACCTAAGAGGCATGCGGTCAATAAGAAAAATCAAATGCTGATTTCAAGATCAACATAAACATTTTGGATTTTATTGCAATATTTCTCAAACATGGGAAATGGCTGCCATGAAAAAATTGTAGAAATCAGTACACCGGTCTTAGAAGTTGAAAAAAAGGAGAAAAAAATCTCACTTCTCTCTTTTTTCTATCAGCATTGCGAACTTCCTGCCTGAGACCATCAAGCTTTTGTAAGGTGGACTCTATTAAAACAAACAATAAACAGTTCAGTGACAAGAAAAGAATAATACCACAGATTGAAATCCTTCACTTGATTTACAGGGCTAAACCCTGCACTCTGGCCCCCTTAAATTTAATGGTGCTTTCAAAGCCAACACTTCTCATCACTTGCAGTTGTTCTTAACTTTTGAGGCATATTGAGACTATTTTCTTTAATCTTTTTATTTCTTTAAACTAAGTGAAAAGCATCAGTCATTTAGAGTTGCTGCAGATGACTAGAAATTGTTTGTTAACTCCTAATACACTCAGTGGAGATTAACTATCTTGATCACTTTGTCTTCCCATACTATGCTGCAAGTTACTAAATACATTTTGCCTTCAATGAAAAGGCATTTGCAGTATAGGTTTGAGCTCTAGTAAGAAAGAAAAACTTGGTCTATAATTTACAGCACCAACCCCTTCAACACTAGGGAAGAGATTTATGTGCTACCTTTTAAGTTGAGGGCTAAAGAAAATCAAACAGTTCCTACCCAGTTCTTCCTCTTTTTCACGCAGCATTCTCGACACCTTAGTCTTCTGTGATCTTATGTCTGCCAGCTTGTCATTCAATTCACTAAACTCTGCCATGGCAAGTTTTCTTTGGTTGTGTGCTTCTTTCAATTCCTTCTGCTGTGAGGCTATTTTTTCATTGGCCTCCTGAAGGACCTAAGGTTTCAAGCAGTAGAAAGTGAGAAATCTATTTAGGTTCTATCAAAACATTCTCCTCAAGTATCAATTTCAGTTTACATTGACGGACATTTAGGGAGAAAAGTAACTTAACTTACTCTTTCAATGTCTTCCTTCTCCATTTTTAAGCCTCTGTTTTCTCTATCCAAGGACCGCATCTTGGCACTCATTTCTAGCAAAAGAAAAACAGTATCAGACAACTGTAACTCTTTAATGTTTAGCACTTACTCGCTCTAAGATTGTCTATGAAGGTGACCATAATTCTCAAATTCATAAGGTAGAAGTTGTTACTTTTGATTTAACAACAAATTCTTGAGACTAATTTAGAAATGTGTAACAGTTAGATGGGAGAGTTAAAAATCAAATCTTGGGAATTTAAGGGGTAATTTCTCAAGACTCAAGTTAAATCTCCACCCTGTAACAGATGAGAGCGACTGCACCCCTCAACTTTACTTTGTTTTTCAGTTTTCCAATAATTTAATATCTTTGGCAAACAGAAATGGTGGTACTGTTTCTTGATATCTTGCCCGAAAACATGGTCATCGCATAAAAGGCATCACCCTTGGGGCTTGAAGCAGACAAACTAATTAGTTCATAAACATTATCTTGCTGTTTCACCAAATTCTCCAAACAAATTTACAAGGAAATTCATCACAGATAGAACAGAGAGTTACTAGTCTGATCAGTGGGGAAAGCTTGCCTTCATTAGTTGACTCCAAGTCTTTCCGAGATGTCAACACATCTTGCAATTCTTTTTCTAACTCAGAAGATTGGGCCTCATACTCTGTTGATTGCAAACAAAGCAACAATAAATTCTCTTAAATAAGGACTATTAACACTCAAAGAGGCCCCCACTTAACTAGCCTTGATCTAAAATTCAAATTTCTAAAAAGCACCCCCCCCCCCCCCACACTTCTCCAATAAGGCCCTTTCCCTTTCCATCTCAATTAAAAAAACTGTAAAATAAATTGTTATTCATTTGGGATAGGCTTGCAAATTATAAAGCCTGTCCAAGTTTTCATTTTCACCAGAGAAATGTAGATTGAATACGTTCTTGATTAAATCCAGGGAGAAAAGCAGAAGAAAAATAGTGGGTGGCACCTCAATCATCTAAATGTTACTGATGAGCCTCATTCTCAAAAAAATCCTCTAAGAGAACATGAGAAATCAAATGACTCCCAAAGAGCAAATAGAAAGGTCTACACAAAGTTTTTGCAAAAAAAAAAAGTATGGTTTAACCCTTTAACTCCCAAGATCTTAATAGTAATTCTACTCACTGTCTGTCATACAGTTCTTGTCATGTTAGTTTGCAGAATTTGGTATTGGATCAACTTATAATCCCCTAACCAATATGTTTCTTTATTCTCGTCACTCGTCTGCTTGATATTGCGTTGATTTTGTGGTCACTCATGGGAGTTAAAGGGTTAAGATTCAACGAGCATCCTCTTACCCATGGCTTTCTTCTTCATTGATGTCATTTCGTCTTTAAGTCTCTTCATTTCCATGGTGTCTATTTGGTCACTTTTGGAACCATCACCAGACAGTGCTTGATCTTGCAATGCTTTAGTGGATTCTATAAAACAATTTATATGAAATTAAGATAGTAGTGCAGGTAACCAGAAAAAAAAGATGGCCTAATTTTTACTGAACTCCACACTGAGAGGTGTAGCTTTGATTCCCAACTGGGAGATCACACTCTACAGTGCCTCTCCATCCAAAAGTGTTTATGAATAAAAAGGAAATTGCCAAAAGAGGGGCTCACCTTGAAGCTTTCTGGCCAGTTCCGATTTCTCCCTCTCAAGCCTCTGTATTCTTCTTTCATAAGCTTCGACAGATAGTGAGCTAGGAACTTGTTTAAAAATATAAATCATACTGAGATTCAATGGTATAATTAAATTTAAGAAGGGCAAAGTGTTAGAGTTGAAAACTAACCACCATCACGATTTAGCTTCAAGAGGCAATAAATATGAAACTTTTTGTCAAAATATCAACAATATCTATTGACAAAATTTAAAAAATATCAGTAAAATATTATTAATCAATCAGAAAAAAGGTGACAAGAATAAACAAAAGTTTCAGGTTGCTGGTTTTATCTCGACGTACACCAAATTCATATTACCAATTTATAAGTCATAATAATTAAATGGAAGTATTGCTGATAAGAGCGAGGTACTTCAGAGATTACTAGTTTTGGATGTTGTTTGACCTATGCCACTCATAAAAAGAAATCAAAGACGCAAAGCATTTCATACAAATTACCATTATTCGTGACTGGTTCCAGAGTGACATGCCCAGCTTCCTTTATCACAGAATGAGCTTTATCAGAGAGTCGACTAGTGCAGAAAAAAAGCAGTAATGATGTTAGTTTTACACTGTACATTAACTCACTATCCAACTGGACTTACTTACACTCAAAGGAAACAGAAAACATTCTCTCTTTGAACCCCAAATGTCTTAAGACCATGACCCAGAATCCAAGATACTCCACAAGTTCACATACCTATTCTCTGTAAATGAAAATCCAATGAACGGCAAATGATGTCCAGTAAAAGGGGAAACAGATGATGGCCTCATAGCATCCTGAAGATTAAATTGAAACTATTTCATTTGAAGCTAAGGAAAAAACAATTATACAAAGTTGTGTGGTAAGTCTTGGCATTTGTAAATTTTTTATAAAATAAAGGTTAACTTTGGAGTGCTCTTGTTGGTTAAAAAATATATGAACCAAGTCATCTTTGAAACAGTTGATAAAAAAAAAATCATATAAAAAAGGAATTGGATACCTGACTTTCAAACAAACAAATAGTACGGTAGCATCTAGACCACTTGTCAAATTTAGGTTATCTACACTTTGTAAAACATAATCAGAAAAGCAATCACAGCACATACATTTGCTCTTGATTCATCAATGTCTACATCAAAGTTTGAAGTATCTGATGGACTGCTAACATCAGGGATGTAAGGCGGTACAGCTGTGAAATACCAAAAGAAACAAAAATGATAAGTACTTTGATTTTTTGATAGTCAAAGACAAATGATAGTCTTAGAGGTCTGATAACATGTCTCCCAGTTTGCAGTGCAATAGCATATAAACTTGCAACAACAATGACAAAAAATGCTTTAATAAGCCCATGATATAGATTTCAAGTTTCTAATGAATCTCTCAATCTAATAACTCCCTCTCAAATAACCCCCCTCCCCCCACCCATCATTTCAGTGAAACTATTTTCTTGAAGTCCAGGAAATGAGCATGTCCCCCCTCCCCTCCCCTCCCACTTACTACTGGTAAAGCACTACTAGGTTAGCATAAACTTACTGTCGCCAATGTTGTCCCAGTCAATTCCCTCAAAGAAAGGGTGATTTCGAAAATCATCAATTCCATTTTGACCTAATCTTTGTTCCATTTTACAGCACAGTCTGTGAGATAAACAGAACACAGGTGAGTTCAAATTTAATGCAAATCCATTCCTGCTGTTAGCCATAGACATCACTTTTAACCTCAATGATTGAAAATTTTCAGACAAACCTCTGCATTAAATCTCTGGCATTATTTGACACTTCCACATCAGAAGGAAAATTGAATTTGCCCTGAAAAGAGACAACATACATTCAGCACCCAAATTCTTTAGCACCAAATTTTACTCCAAATAGCTTGACTACAGTAAAGGAATCCTTACCTCAGTCAAAACTTTTGGTTTTGGGTTTACATATGGTGAGAATGGTTAAACTTCCACTATCAGTTACAGCTATCAAGCCAAATTGACAAAGGTTTCACTTTCGTCTCCAATTTCAATGGATTTTTTACCAGTGAAAAAACCCTTGAAAAAGGCACCTACCCATATCTGAATTCATTCCTCTGATTGATAAGTTTTAACTAGCTATAAGTGCCCTTAATTCCAATTTTGTTGAGGGATGCACATCAAATAACATTCAACTTGATCAGTCATATTACTAAATTTACACAAACTAGTTCTTAATTTTGGTGCAAAAGGCAACAGTTTGCTAAATTTTAGAAACTTACAGTGTGGCTCATAATTTTGCTGTAGGTTTCCACCAAAGATTCTGCGTAAAATGGAGTTTCACCAAAAAGCATTTCATACATACACACACCCAAGGACCACCAGTCACACTCAACTCCATACTCTCCTCTCCCATCTTCCATGGCCTGCGCAAGATATAAAAAAAGGAAAAAAAGGTTTTAAGGGTGAAGTGGAAATAGTTTTGACAATAATCATAAATCCTTGTATGTGCCTAGGGAACAACCTTTAAATAAAGTTAACCACCTCTCAAATGAATTTTATTGTATCAAAAGTGCCACAGAGCGGCACGAAAACATGATGCCTCCTTGATGGTGACAAAAATAATCCAAGGATATCCGGCGCATCAGTAACAAATTTCCAGTTTTCACTAGCTTGAGCTAAAGAGAATTTTCCCGTTTTAAGGGACTTGTTAGGCCCAGTAGTATATGGTGCTGACCGAACAAGAGCTCCTTTGCACATATTCGCCATACTGTTCTCTATACATTTTTTTATGGTGCTGATGAGATGAATTTGTTTCACGAACAAGAGCTCCTTTGCATGGTTCAACATCTCAGCTAGCCTGGTAGCCTGAGGCTAGTAAAAATTTGGTTGGGTTAGTAATAAAGGGAAGATTTGCATGTTTGGGGTTGAAGTAGACCTCGAGGAAAATTAATCCGGGCTTCCAAGTTGTGTTTCAGGCTAGTAAATTTTAGAAATCACTAGCCCAGTGGTTAGTAATGCAGATAGCCAGGTGTTGAACCCTGCTTTAGTTGGTGATCATTTCCATTATTCTTGTAACCTTAATGTTTAATTTAGGGGTGATACTGTAAGAAGAAAATAGAAAATAGTCACCCTCAGATGCTACAGGGTTACGCTGTAAATGGAATTTAACATAGATGATGACTAGGAGAAAATCTGGTCGGTAACATTTTGTAGGTGTTTTCAAATTGTTAGCATTTAGAAAGCATTTGTTTGCATTCTGAAACGTGTAACAGCAGTCATGAGGTTGTGGGAGCCCTGAGGTTGTCCTTGACAAGGGTATTTATCATTAATGCATACATTGGTTTTCCTGTGTGATTCCGTTGTGTCCAAATTACCAAATCTAGTATAAAACTGACACATAACCATACCTGTAGGATTTCGGGAGAGATATAGTCAGGGGTACCCACAGCAACAGCTGATCTCACCTAAGAAAAAAAAAAAAAGGGAAATATGAAGTTTGTATGGTACAAGGTTCAAAGCAATCCAAGCATTGTTAACCCTCTCATTTTCAAAATCTTATTCCCAATCCTCCTAACTAATAGCAATATTTATAAAACCTTCATGAGAACTTGTTGTTGAATCAAAACAATATTTCATTTCAATCAATTGCTCTGAAGGGCTAACACTGGAAATGTCAGAGTTAAAACTCTTTACAGTGGCCAATTACCTGTTACACTGATTTTGTTATTCTAAATTCTCCTCCCAGTTCATTTCACTTGTTAACCCTACTAGTCCCATAAGTGACTAACATATAACTTCTCCCTATTACAGCCATACATTATCCAGCAAACAGGTAATGAGAATACTCAAACTTATCAGGTAGAAGTTATTATCTTGATCTAGCATCAAATTCTTACAACTAATTTACAAGGAAATATGTAGCAGCTAGAGGGGAGAATTAACAATCAGATCTTAGGAGTGAAAGAGCTAAGTTGTAAGAATTATTTATCAGATGACCATTCTAGGAGATGAAAGGTAAGAATGAAAGGAATGCTGGCCACAAGCCTCAATCGTTCACTCATACCGGGCAGTCTTGCCTCTAACAGGGCTATGTATTCATCCTGTAATTTTTTTCAGAGTGAACTGCAATGCAATCATCATGGTCCTCACAAAGGCCGATTCTGCTTACTCTACATGCTATCTCCAAATTTAACATTAGAACAAGACAAGGAAACACTTACAGTGCCCTTCTTTCCAAGCTTTGAACAGGAACCAAAGTCAGCCAATCTGATATGTCCACTAACATCAAGAAGAAGATTATCAGGCTTGAGATCCCTGAAAAACAAGAGTTACAAAGCATTATAAAGAATTGTAAAGGAAAACTTGAATGCAACTAATTAAGCTGCTACACCAGCAAAGCCTGGTTTTCATATGTCCAGAAAATCACAGACAATTAACAATTTCACTGTTTCCTGACCATCCCAGATTTTTCATAAAGAATGCCAACTTCCTGGGATGGTCAGCAACAAATATGGAAAATTGGGAACATTTCTATTTTCCCATTACATTCCAAACTTCAGAAATGCACTCCATGATTGTCTGGGATCTTAACGACACATGAAAACCAGCCTAACACAGATTCACCTTCCCACTGGAAATCAATGTGCTCTAAGATAGATAGCATTTCCTACCTGTGCACATAGTCCATTTTGTGTATTGAATTCACAGCCAACACCACTTCAGCCAGGTAAAACTTGGCCATTTCTTCTGGCAAATGATCTTCATATTTACTGAGGAGAGTTAGAAGATCACCTCCACTGTAGTAGTCCATGACAAAATACTATTGAAGAAACAAAATAAACATTGGTACCAATCACTCTTACCCTTCTTCATCAAACCTTAAGTTGTTAACCCTTCAAGTCCCACTCGCGACACAAACAGAATTTCTCCTTACACTATCAATATGATATCAAGCAGACAAGTAATGAGTATAAAGAAAAATATCAATTAGGGGATTATTGGTTGATCCAATTCCAAATTCTCTAAACTAACATTATATGAATTGTATGGCAGACAATAAGGAGAATTACTAATAAGATCTTGGGAGTTAAAGGGTTAAGCCATAACAGTGACAATAACAAAAATATTTTTTATTAACCTATCAGGCTGATATTGAAGCCAAAATGGGTGCGACGGTAACCACTTTCACTCCAAGCTGTAACAATTAAGAAAAGATTTTGGCACCTGAATTTGCAATGAAAGTTGCTGATTTAAAATGTGATAAACTAATTATCCAATGATCAATTTGTAATTTAAGGTTGCCAAACATTGATTTTGAAAAGCTTGGAGCTGTAATCACCATACAGAGTGCAGGAATACCTAAAAAATCATTTTCAATATCTTTGGGATACTAACTTTTGCTGCAAATTAAGTTGCAACATTTTTGTGATTGCCAAAGCCATCAAAACAGTCACAACTCAAAATGCTGAATGCAATGACTTATAATCAATACTACAAGACAATTTTTAGACAATTTTTGTCTTAACCTGAAGCTAGTATTTGAATGTAGTAAGGTGCACAACAAACTGCAACAAAGATTGCGATCCTACCAAATAATCAGCATCTTGAAACGCGTAATGCAGAGTAGTTATCCATTTCTTGTCTCCATACACAAGGACATCTCTTTCCTCTTTAAAGCATGCAGTCTGCAATAGAACAACCAAATAAAAGTATTAAATACAATTCCACTAACACATAAGGACAAAAAGAATTATTGTATAACTCAACTGAGTTTGGAAGTAAGAGGCAATGGCATGATGTAATCACTAACCAAATAATCCACTTATATTATTAATTGTTTTAATTTGAGTGATTACACTTTAACTGACCATTCAATACTGGTAAAGACTGTACAAACAGGCCATTAGGATTCAATCAAGGGTGATCACGACTGTTTAATAGATGTAACGGTTACTGCAACAATAATTTGGGTGGGGGGGGGGGGGGGGAATTTTCCGACTTCAATGACCAACCACTTGATACTGGTTCAACTGTATCAGATTTTGTTGGCATAAAAATATGCAATTTCCACATTGGTGAGAACTATATCTAAGAATCTTTTACATCTACTCTCAAAAATTTCAGTGAAAAAAAGGTTTTGGTAATACCCTTGATGAGATTAACTTGTTTTACATTGTGAAAGGGTTACAGGAACTTTTCACTGAAGAGTAGAAAAAAATCACTAGAGTGGAACAATATTTAACCATACTTCCGGTTAATTAAGTCATTCTTGTCAAACTTGGGTCATGTGCCAACCATGCTTTCCGGTTTTGTTCCTTTGCCTAACAATCCCTTGTCATGTTCTTCCATTATTGAGAATGGATCAGAATAAACACTACTTAATTTGACTTAGCACTGGGCACGATTTAATCCTTTGAAGATCACGAGTTTAAAACCTTGATAATGCCTGAAACACTTACAAACAAAATATATTCAAGATGTTTGCTATCAGGATTTTCACATTTTCAAGACAGTTATTAATTACTTTGCTAATTGACAGGTTATTATAATACAGTTGAAGGTAAAGTGCAAAGTAAGCTGTAAATGAAAACCACCTTAAACAGAATTTCAAAGGCATATTGTGCATTAATGTCATAAGCTTAAAGAATTATTACAAATTGAATTTAAAAAAGTGTGTAATGGATAAAATTTAGCTCACTTTAAAAATAGGTTTGATAAACTTTTAAGAAGAAGATAATGTTTCTTAAAGAATTACCAAACAAAATGTACTTCTTGGCAGCCAAAAATTGGAAGAAAAATGCAAAACAGGATGCTTATCTAGAATGTGGCTTGTACAACAATTACTTGGTTTCTTGTTAATTAAATTAAGGAGACAAATTAAAAACATACTTGCTGTACTAAGTAAATATACTGTAGGTTTAAATACACTTTCTTATTTCAACTACAAACAAAAGATATGGGAGGATGTTTTAATGGTTCTGAAAAAATGCAAGAAATTTGCTGAAAAGGCAAGTATATATATATATTTTTTTTACGGCACCATTTTACTTCAGTTTGTATTTGGTTCTTGCAGTGAATTTGACAATCTTTAAATGAGGCTGAATAAACATCATATCATGTACTACATGTTATTTACAATGAGACTCTGACAATGCAGTGGAAACCAAACTTTGAGATATCAGACAAAACAAGAGAATGCTGGAATGTGACATTTTATAGATAAGACCGACATAGTAATTTGAACGTGTCGCAAAAACTGGTTAGAATATTCTCAACACTCTACAGAGTCAAAACAAAAAGACAGGAAATTAAAATGAGAGCTGTCACATTGCTTTTGATATTTTGCATTGTTTATAAAATGTACAAGAAGGAGATGCCATGCACCGGGATATTTCATTGTCTTAACCCTGGGAATCACAACATGAGAAGCATACTTCTTTATCTCCACTCAACAAGAAGAGTAAAAGAAAAGCTACACAAATTTCTAGTGTTGCACCTATTTTCACAATTTGAAGTGTGCTGGTTAGTCAAGGGAAAAAGTTCACATTATTCCGCAATTTAGAATTAAACATGCATGTACTAAAGAACTGATCACATACAACAAAACATTTCACGGTTGCTATTTCTGACATGCTGTGGATGACATTTTGTGTTAAGTACTTCTAAACTAACTTTACACTTGTATTGAAGAATGAGTTCAATTATTTATAGAGCCAACAGAATACAAACTTGCTCTAACTTGATCTGTCATCTTCCCAAACAAAACACCCCTTCTTTAAAGGCTAAAATTCATGCTATAAATTCCATGTTCAACCTGTACATCTGATGGTGAGGTTGTTCTTATTGTTCGTGGAAATGATAAAGGTGATGCACTTTGCAGCAACCATTGATAGCATATTTTCAGCTGTCTATCCGTTTTTCCAGAAGTTACGACACAAGAATTACAATCAATGAAACAAAAGAAAAACGAGCACATCTGTCTGCAGAGGTGAATATAACACTGTATTTTTTTTCGCAATATAACCTCTGACACTGACGGAATAACAAAAAGAAACTCTTGAGCCTTGATCTATATGAAACTAACTCTCTTTTTTATCTAAACATAGTCATACATTTACATGAATATACACAAAAGCTGTGCTTCACGATTCAGAGCACAAGAATTTCCTACTCAAAACTAATGGAGCATCGAAACTAAGCATGAAATCAAATAAAGGCAGCTGTGAGTAGGAAATATCGACTCTCCTCGCCACAGAAAATCTTACAAAGCAAACACTGATATGTATTCTGACCATAGGGAATCCTTGTGAAAGTAAATAATTTTGGCATAACGTGGTTATTTAAATTCGCACCGGTGCATTACGAATGCAAACCGAAACTGTGCGAATACCACAGAGTGCTCCAATTAGAGACTCCTGCACTTCTATTCGTTCGATAAAGGATTAAGAATTACCGTGTTTCACAAACAGATACGAATGCTGAATTTTGTCAAAAATCAACATTTGATCAATTGTAAAGTCGCTTAGCAAACGAATGTGGATCGCTAGAGTGTCAAAATAAGAATGTACACTTCTCAGACATGCAGTTTCAACTCATTTAATTTCCACAAGACCGAAGCGGAGCCAATCGTCGGGTCAAAATTAACCCAAAAGACTAAACAATACTTCACTGAATAGATGAATGAGCTACTCACCTCGGCTCTTTTCAACATTTCCCATTTGTTTAAAGTCTTCATAGCGTATATTCTGTCATTGGATTTCATGCGAACCACAGTCACCTATAAAGGAAAGTTCGATAGGAAAGTTCACGTCTTGTGCTGAAGAGAATAATATAAGCTTGGGCGAAAAACTTTATTTCCCACAAAAATTAAGGATTCTTACTTCTCCAAATGCTCCTTTACCAATCAAGGTAAGGGGATCGAAATCTTCTCGGCGCAAACGAAGAGTTTTAATCTTCGTCGCTATCGGCTTCACTGCAATGAACACATAACAACACATACATCAACCACCAAGCTCGCAGGCAACTATCGCAGTTAGAATAACTCGGCTGTCATAAATCACAAGCTCAGCTTTACGTTTCAATGCTGATTCTCCACTTACCATTCTCAATAAATTCACTGATATTTTTGTCTCTACGAAGGGTAGAATTACAACACTCGTCGTACAACAACAGTAAAATGTCTAGTAAGGTCTCAGTGCTAAAAGACCCTTTCTCTTTTCCACCGTAAGAGAATACATTCTCTAATTGTTTTAGTCTTTCTTCGGCTGGTGCTTCGCTCGCTGCTGCCATGATTAGTTCTATTGTCCTCGCTTCCAGCAATTAGCAAGTGATGTAGTTGGGCGTACAGACTACCGCATATTCTCACTCGATTATACACCGCTTCTGTGTTCTATGGACATGGTGGTCTCACAGTCGTGACGACCCAAAATCCTTTAAGTGTTACACCGTCGGTCCAATTTCCTGAAGGCTAGTCTTCGTTTGGAAATACTGGCTTTTAAGAGATCTCATAGACCGGCTAAAGTCCGCAGCTTTGACCAATCTTCGATCGATGATTCTACGCAAAAACAATGCCTCATATGCTTTCGAAGAAAATCGGAAATATGGTAGATCACCGCCAATGGCATTGTGGGAAAGCCAAGCCTAACATACCGCTGACGTAATGGCTTAAGAAGGCACAGGGGAGTTATGGGTAATAAGTGTTGACCAAAAAAAAAAAAAAAAAAACTAACTATAAGAGAAACTATTGAGAAGCATCTAAATTCATCGAAAATATTAATATAGTATTATGATCAGAATAAAATAGGAGGAGAAATAAACGAAATTATGAGATCACTAGAGGCTAATTAGTTCATCGTGAGACTATTTCCAACATCTTGACTCTTCCGGTTACGAGATATATACCCACTCCCACTCAAGCAGCTTCCTATCACAAATATCAATTATTTTTAGATCAGAAGAGGCTTCCAAAACACATAAAGCGACTGTACTGGTATCAAAAGAAAACGAGCAAATTTATTAGCCTATGGAAAAATTGTTGTGCTTAGTCGCGGGACTTTGTTTATTAACAACCATGATAAGTTGATCAAGGCAGATACACGATACATGACCGTGGCTAATTTGGAAAGCTGACATCTCGAGCAATTCTTCCTCGTAGGAGTAATTTGCTTGTTGTTTATTGGCCGCTCAAGAGTTATCGAAATCTTCGTCAAATTCTGAACGCATTTTTCCTCGCGCGCCAGAGAAATGTAAACCATCGTTGGAGGATTTGTTAAGAGAAGTTCGCGAAAAGGCTGTTTTTATCACTCCCAATCAGTAAGGCGCCGTTTCAATCTAATTAAATGCTCATTGTCGTGTTGTCACAAGTGTCAACTTTTCAAGACCGGGAATGTCATGGGTAAAACCTATTATCAGTATGCGTCAGCCTAGATAGATTCTAAGGCCATTAACATTCTGTTAAGATTCAGTCTCATTCGCATGTTCGCAATTCTTTTTTAATATACTGTCTTTTTTTTTCTTTGTTTTCACTTGTTTCCATATCATCTAACCTTGTTTAAAATCCACTGAAGAGTGATAGCTGACATACAAACATACAAATATATAATTGAGTTAGTAAGTAAATGAACAAATGCAAATCATTACCTTGCTTGAATAGAACTGAATCTAATTACGTCAAACTGCTAGCTGGACTGATTCAAATTTATAAGGTCAGTCACTGTAGATCCAACTACTTCTACAGTTTTAACAAGCAAATTTTTCTATGAATTAAATGCCTTATGCTACAAAATGCTAGTTATTTCGGGCTTCGACCTCACTTGAGACCTCTAAATAACCCTGTGTGATTATAAATGATCAATTGATGCGTCGAAAAACTGATGAAGATCCTAACAAAACAAAGACTTTCCTAGGCCTCAATCAACGCAAAAGAACTGTCAAGTTGACTGATTTAAAATTTCCCAAGAAATTTAAGACCAGAAGCTAAATCTTCATTTAATTGAAGTTTCGTGATTTACTTCTAATATATTACATATATTCTAGAACATTATTTAAAACTCATTCTGTGCAGCCAAGACATGGACGTCTCTCGTCTATACGTTTCCTCTCATTAAAAAAATAAAGATCAGAGCAAAATTAACATTTTTTTCTTAAAGCCTCAGGTTGAAAAAAATATCAACGGCTAGATAATCAAATACTTGAGACTGCTTAATTGTTTAAACTATGTACGAATTCGTAATTTAATTCAGTTAAGAATAATTGTTAGATAACCCAAACCCTGACCAATTTTAGGTATTTCCTGAATGCGACTATGGATGGTTATTCACCTTTTCTAGAACCTGTTTGTCTAAATCCTTCTTAGACACTACTTAGGCGAGAACCTCTTATGTTATCCCAGTTCTAACAACCTGCTGCATCTCGCAGTCTCGTCCCTAATCCCCACCTTAATCTGAAGCGAAACGGCAAGTTTACTTTACCTTACTCAGAGCAAACTTACGCTATAAACTATTCAATGTTTTGGAATCTAAAATACGTCATAACGTAAATAAAAGCTCAATTACAAAATATCGTGCGTCTCAATTAGACCGTAAATTATCCGTGTTAATATAATCTTTAAATGCGTTTATCGCCCAAGTGCTTTGGTCATGCAAAGCTATTTGATCCGGACGAGAAGTTACCATTTCATCTGACACGGGACACATGGAATCCTATCAAATTGAGATTTGTTGTACATTGAGTTGGTTAATTGAATTTCCACAAGAGTATAAGTTGACTCTTTTTGCTGAAAGTTCAAATGGTGAAGTGTGCCGGTAGTCAAAAATATTCACCCAACATAATAAAATTTGAGTTTAAAAATTTCAGAATAAAATTTTCCCACAAAAAAAATTATTAGACGGCAACTCAAGCGATTTGACTAAAGTACCACAAGAAAAGTGTGTTTAACTACTCTTCATTTCCCGCTATGACATGACTTACATCAATCGCAAGGAGGGATCCCTAAAGGCTGCTCATTATTTATCGCCTGGGGGGTGGGGATCGGGAAAGAGTCGAATGAATTTGGTTGCGTCACGATACAATTTACCCGATCCCCCATAAGGCTCTGTAATATTCTTATAATTCCCCCCCCCCCCACCCCATCCCCCCCCTCCTTCATCGGTAGTCAGTTTTAGTCTCCCTTTTACATTCTGTTGGCGACGAATAATCTCCCTCTCCGCTACCACCCCTCCCCCCCAAAAGGCGGTAAATAAGGACAAACAGTTGTGCGTTCAATGGCTGCACCCGTTGAAATTCTGTTTTACCGGGCACTTCATATTAATCAGCTTACTCTGTTCTAATCGAGTAACAATGTAGCATGAACATTTTGGGGATTTTTTTCCTTTTTTACTTTCGCAAATTCGCAATTTTGCTTGTTCCTTGGGGAAAATTTTTTTTGCGGTGCCAATTCCAAATGACTGTAAATTGTGATGGGAATTTCTCAAGTTTTTGCGATTTTCATTCAGGTGTCACAGCATTACCAAGAAAAGACACGTAATGTTAATGCATACTGACTCACCAAGGACATTTCATTGAATTCTAACCAACGGCTAGCTTGATCACCGGATTTCTATCGCGTGAGGGTTGGTGAACGCGACCATCACGAAAGAGATCGTGAGTGAATGATCTAATAGTTTTAGTATAAATCTATTAGTCGTTCGACATGAAAAAAAAACAAAAACCATAGACTCAAGTTTTTTTTTAAAATATCTTGTTTACAGCGCACACTCTTAGGCTCTTCACTAATACTCACTATCTATCACGGAATAAACAGCGAGTTGCAGAGCCAGTCAGATTGCAGCTTTTGTGAAAACACGATGGGATCTTTCCTATTGTATTGACATGGCGAATTTGATAAACAATACCGAGCGTCTAAACTACTTGAAGCGATAATTTCCTTTATTCTCAAGACTGTAACGAGTGATTCCGCTGTAATAGTGTCTGGAGAAATTAGGTGCTTGTCAATCTTAAAGCTTTAAAGGTTGAAAGGCAAGAGTTCCACGACTGTTACTGACAATCGTCTGCGCAGGCAACTGATAAGAGTCGATGAGAGGTTACTCGGGCAGATAAGCGAATCATTCACAATTGGCTTAAAGGATAAAACTGCATTAATTGAAGTCTTAGATGAGATAAGGATAATAACACATGTTTAATCAATTTTGATTTTTTTTTATACCCATGTACCCCATGAACTTTTCCCTTCAACTAAAAACATGTTGAGAAAAGATAAATTAAAAATGACTTCCGAGGGTGTCAGAATTTCTGGTGACCCACTGGTTTTCACAGTTGTCCGATGATTATAAACACGCTAAGAATTGTATATTAGTAATACAGATCAAATGTAACATGATGTAGAACACCAACAAATAAGAGGCAAACCAGTTCGCCATTTACAAACACGTTCCAGGGGTTGAGCTGTAATAACGAGCAACTAATCCAGCCGACGGTGTCGAGACTCGAACCCGGGACCTCTGGGTTGAGAGTCCAACCCGTTCTCCTCTCGGCTGTGCTGCTGTACTTCAATCCAAACGTCCGTCTGTTTAGGGCCCTTCTGCGCAACAAGGAAACGATCTCCCCTACTCGGAAAAGTTTTCTTCGTTTCTTTTTATTCGTGTCAACCTGCCCTATCAATTTCTGTTTCCGGAGGTTTTTGTGTCACTGGTCTCAGGAATAAATCGCTTTGATGTCAGGGAAAAGCAAACGCTTGTATATGTTGTGAAACAAAGATCGTTTTTTTGAAAAAATGTTTACGAAACTTGGTATAGTTTAGTAGTTTTTATTTTGTGATTGCAAAGCGCTTGTACTTTGAGCATTAGTGCAACATCATTGTTTAATATTATCGTTATTGATTGAAATTACTATTACTTGGAAATATTAGCATCATTATCATTATTATTATCGTCATTAATATCATTATTATTATTATTATTAATAGCATTATACTCATTTCCATCATCAAACATCATTTTCATTATCATTATCGTCTCTATTGCTATGAAATGTTGAGATAACACAACGAATTCTCCTTTCAGTTACTCATTAGGGACCTTAAGCAGTCAGGACGGCAACGCCAAGGAAGACTTCGATTGAAAAATGAATTTCTACCTTTAATTAGAATTTCAAAAATAGCTGCATTTGTTTACCGTCCCATACGGAGCCACACCTCAACTTCAGCAAAACGTTTAATAGAAGCGCTGAGTTCTAAATGGAAATTAAAATAATTTGCCGTCGCGGTTTCGGTTCGCAGGCGACGCAAATTGTGGTGATTTCACGTTGTTGTTTTGCAGAGGACGGCTAAGAAATGTACAAAGTTTTAGAATGCACGTGCTGAGCTATTGTTCTACCAATTAGATCTTTTGTTTTTCCACGTCCTCGTTTCCGTCGCCGTCGTGGTGTGCTTAAGGTCCTTAGTGACTCATCACAGCCATCCCAACCTTCCTATCTCAACAGCAAGAGTATAATTGGCTTTGTTGATCGAATTTTTATTTAACAGTATTCATTTGGACGGTTATTTTTTCATGCAGAGCACTTTTCGAGCTTGCAGGCTCATGCGCAAATAAAACAAAGGTGCTCGTGGATTCAAGTAAAATAATAAAATTTTAAATAATTTGCTATATACATTGCAATACAATTCATCCAGTATTTGCCAATTTAAAATAATTATTCCGAAGAATAAATTACGCTTATAAAAATTCTTGCTTGCAAAAGTAACTCAGAACGTGATATTCAAAATAATCTGATAATTCTAAAATTAAAGGGTAGTAAATGATATGTTACTAGTTTCCTTTTTGAGGAATAAATTACTCCTATACTATATTAAGCTGAGATACACTTTAACAGTACAAAAAAAGCTACTGGCATAAGTGAATGGTACATGTAATTAATTTCTACGCGCGTACGTCGTTGTGGCCTGTACCACTATCGGAAAACTGTTTTTGCCCTATCTCTTTCAGACTCTTACGGTGCGACTATTGTAGTGTCACTCAGTGGAACTTGCAAAGCTGTTTTTTCTAGTTTGCTCTGTGGTTGGTTGGAGTTTAAAAGTGACGCAACCCTCTCGAATAGTTCCTGTGAATGTACAACTACAACCAATCGTAACTTGGTCGCTGGTGTTTTCCCGCGCTTCTGGCGGTTTGCTTATTTTTATCGTGGGTTCTGATTGGCTCCTCACTACATCGTCCTTTTATCTGACTGGCCAGTGCGATTAGTTTGTGTAGTAAATAAAAGTGGCCAATCACATTACAGGATTAGAGGAATGAATCGTTGATGACGGAAAGTCAATTGAATCAGTGGTATAAAGCCAACGGTTTCACGGTTAACAACAGTTACAACTCAAAATTTGAAAAATGAAAGCCGTCAGGGTGGAAATGTTTTTCTCTAAAATGGAGCAAATCCAAAAAAATCCAAGAAAAAAAACTAAGCTTCAAGAACATACCTAAAAACCGTGTACACAATCATTAAAAGCAACTGGGTATGTGAGACCTGTCGTATTACTATGGAACATTCAGAACAAGTCACTGGTGATGTTTTGGATACTGGTTGTGAATTCTTTGGAGCAGGCTTTATTTCTGCCGGGCAAATAAATCCACTGTCAGAACAAACTTCTTCGCATGATGGACAAACAAGGGTTCCTTGAAAGCTCCAACTGTCGACTTGCACAGAAATGTCCAAAACCTGGCCCTCATGGAAACATGGATATTTAAAGCCACCAGTGATTTCGACCCTCAGTGCATCAGATTCACAATGAAATTTATAGCATCCGCTTCCATGATTCACAGCCGTGTACCGTGTACTACATTTCTCTTTCATCCACTTTGTTCGTTGTTCAAAGCACCGTGATTTATTGCCGTAGAATTCCAGTGCATAATTCAGGTCATACGGTAAAGCGTTGTGTTGTGATATACAAGAAGATGTTCTGACCTCTTCTCCTTTCTGTGTCCATGTAAAACTTTGGTAAAATGGACAATAATCAGCTAAAACTACCGCCCCACCATATCTGTCTTCTGATTCGGAAATTCCCGGAATAAAACCGGGCAAAAAATTCTGAAATTCAGTAGGAAGATTTTGTTCATATTCTACTAAGTTACATGAGGCAACAGATGTTCTGTCGAGGGAGCATCCAGTCCGTGAGTCACCCTGTTTCTTGATTTTAGAACAGAATGGAGCTATGGACTTTCCAGCAGTTTTCTGAGCTTTCATCCAAGCAGCGCAGCTGTTTTTAGTAAACAAACAACCCAAGTTCCTTCCCCAGCGTAAAGGATCGGCCATTTCATAGTTGACAAGGTACCAGCCGGTATCTTCCATTAACGCCAGAGTCACTCGACTAAACACGGTATTCTGTGTAAAAACACCCGTCATGGCTTCGTTTTCAAACAAGCGCTTTTCCCAATGGGCTAATGCTGTACCTTCACCTCCTTGGTTTTCAAGCTCAGCTCCTTCTAAAGTTGAGCAATTAAAATGCCTCTGTGCTTCTTCTTTCACCCTCGGTGTGACCATCATATAAACATTGTGTTGCATTGTACCAGACCTTGTTAACCAGTCGTTTCTCGTTACCATCCTGACAGTCTGGAAGGAAATTCAACCTAAATTGATTTTAATGTCCCATTTCATTGTTGAGTGGGTGAGGCAAGTTTTCTGGAATAATCACAGAGCTAAGTTACCGTAATAAAAGTAAAATCAAATTACATTTAACACTCCATTGAAAATTTCTTTAAAGGGTATTTATCTTGGTGATAGCAAAAATTCCCTAAAAACTATGAAACTCAAAATTAGGTGTTTAACCCCTTCATTCTGGGAAAACATTACCATGTAACACCTACATTTATGACAAACACCTTCCAAGACTATTGACATAGTGCAAGATCAAGATCTCATTAGTAATTCTCCTTACTGTCTGCCATACAGTTCTTATGATGTTAGTTTGGAGAAGTTGGTATTGGATCAACTAATAATCCCCTAATTATGTTTTTATTTATTCCCTTCACTCCTCTACTTGACGTTGTGTCAATATTGTAAGGAGAAACTCAGTCTTGATCGCTCAGTCACATGATCAGCCCTTGGTTTGGGGAGACTGCTTATAGCACCCATCTCCAACCTGAGATGTCAGAGTTAAAGTAATTTTAAGAAAAATGTCTTTTGGTAGAGAAAACAGACATGATGCTATCAACATTGATGATTCCAGCAGTATGCAGGACACATGTCATATGAACTTTGTCATAGGTCACACTCAGCATAGAGTGTTTGTGGCTCAGTGTTTGAGCATCAGAGCACAGAATCTGAAGGTCTGAGGTTTGATTCCTCATGAAGACTCAAATTTTTTTCTTTGTCCCATACTTGTGACATGAAGAAAAACACCTTTCTCAATTTTTTTACTGAGTACAAAACTTACCATCTCTCTTATTCTGTTTAAATTTTTTTGTAGTTAAGTGCAGTTTAAAATATGAATGAATGTTTTAATTGTTAGTTTCATGATTTAAAAAATCAGTATGGATTTTATTTGTGTTAACAGTTACAATGTTAATATCCATTGTGGAGCTAAAAATCAGTGAAAAAACAAGTCAGCGATGTACAAATACTGAAAAAGAGTTTGCACAGCGTCCAAAGATTTAGGGAGACAATAATACTGACTTAAATAAATAGAATGAGAAATTTAAGTCCAATATTGGATTAAGGAAAGAAATCAAAACTTTACATGCACATAATGCGTAGGTTAGACAATAACACAATTACTAAGGCTGTAGATAAGACAAACAGCTGTAGCAGTGGGTGGGGAGGGGTCAGTAATGGTGAAATTATTCCCAAGTTCCAGCCCTCTCTGTCTCACTAACCCAACCCAAAATAACTATTGTAAAAGTTTGATTGTGCAGCTGAATCCTGTCAGCTAGATTTGATTGGGGTGTGTTACATATCACCAATTTAAACAATAGTCAACAGACTCCCCTCAATAGGAGTCAACAGTTGCCAGCAACATAGTGATGACTTTATTGTAATGAAATTTACAACAAACCACCAAACATTACCCATGGATTGAAAATGACCAAACACGACCAACTCATGCCACTCGAGTCTTATAGCCAGTAACATCACAACTTAACTGCACAATCAGTTTACCCAAACCACACTCATTGCACTTAACTAACATCTCTTAACTTTATTCTAATGATCACTTCCGCTCAGGTTGTCAAAACATCAGTCACCACTACTGACCACAATCCATCACAAGCTACATGATCACATTACCCCTGGGTTCAAACCATATACTACATTGTAAGTTAAGTAGATAAACATGATCCCTAAGTCTAGAAAAGTAGAAACTCTACAATGTAATGTGTCAAAAGCCTGACCTGTTCACTCCACTTGTAGTGTTTTAGGACATCATCGTACTCTTTTGGAAGTCCATTAGAACGACGAGCAGTCAGCGGCTCACCACTTTGATTGCGGAAAAATGCAAACAATGATGGTGCAAATCCAAGAGCATGGAATATTTCATGTTTGACAGTTGCCAAAACCTAAATAATAAAGTTTTCTTTGATTATCAGTGGATCAAAAACTAAAGACTGCAGCTGGAAAACAAACTGTAACATTTGTGTATCAGCCGCACCTTTTTGCTTAAGTTTTGAGCCAAAAATTGTGGGTGGGGCCTATAAACAAGACCATTATTTGTCTCTATTGTCCAGACTTCCCACATGGTTGCCATGCAAACGTTTTGCATCGTTCTTCTGCACTTTAATTTCATTCAAATTCCAATTTTATTTGAGCTGTGGGCTTTAGCAATGAAGACAACTGTTGTCAGTCACAGCAAATAAGGAAATTGATTTTAAAAAAGCTTTAAAAAGGGTTTTTTCAGAGTTGAGTAACTTATTAATGTATTAATGTCACTGCAAATACACAACATTAGATTTCATTAAGTTTATTGTGAACATCTGCAAACAAACAAACAACTTTTTTTAACAAGAGTGCTTTTTTGGAGTTTTTTTTTTTTTTTTCCGAAAATCATGCTTGAGAGTTGGGGGTGCAGCTTATACATGAGTGTGGCTTATACGCAAGTTTTTACAGTAACTCATGGCTACATTTGGCACGACTACATTTAGTTAAAATAATTCTGGAGCATGATGGTCAGAGAGTAGACTATGGTACAAACTGCAACCAAATTTAATATCATTAAAAAAAAAAGTAATCCAATCAGAAAAAAAGGTTTACATTATAACTGGCCTATGAGAACTTAAAATGGAACAAACAAACTGCTTGAAATACAGGGAAATGTCAAAGACGAGTCAAACTTTTTTTTAAAATTTACATCTATAGGATTCCATTTGATTGTTGAGAGGGTGTAGCAAGTTTTCTAGACCAATCACAGAACAAAGTTAAAGTAGAGACAAATGACAGTTGACACCCAATTGTAAATTGCTTTAAAGGGTATTTACCTTGGTGATGGCATAAACTCCCTAAAAACTATGAAATTCAAAATTTGGTGTTTTAAATTTTATAAGACGCCATTCTAGAAAGGGACAATTCAAAATCGCAACCTTTGACGACCTCTCTCTCACCTCACTGTAGCTGCTTCTCAGTTCACTTGCAGTCACCCTTTTGGGGCATATGTTGATAAATCCTGCTACAGGTCTATCCAGTCCACTTTCTTGTTGGCAAGCCGAACCATACGCTAAAGTCGTTGAGCTTTTTACACAGTTCCCATGAGTAACTGCTGTAACATAAAGAATAAAATCTGCGTCCTTGTGTCCTTCTCCAGCAGTGAATTCAGGTCTTGTGTCGTTGCGACAGTTCTGGCCATTCTTGTCACAAACCCTACAATGATCCAAATCGTGTTCTGGAATTTCAATTGGTCCGCATAATATTCGAGAAGAATTGCATGATTCTTGACAAAATCTGACCCTCCCTGGTCCACTTCCATCGGCGTTTTTAGAGAAAAAAAGCTGGTTAGGACAACTCCTTTGAAGACGAATATTCGTCGTTGTCTTTCGAACTTTCAACGTTCTACTAAAATAGCTTTGCGCTTGTTGTAAAATATCCTTCACCATGCTGGGATTTTCTAAATTGCTGATGTTGAGAAAGTCCAGCGAAATTCGCAGTGGCTGGTCCACAGAGCGTCTTTTTAAGATATGCGATGGTTCTAGTGGAATATGCCGTATCATCTCGTCATATTCATGGATCAGATCATGTGATAACGAAAAAAACCCGGCTAAATATAACTGGAGTACACATAAGAACAACAACGATTCCGCCGCCATGTTGAATTTTCAACAGTAAAGGGGAACTGGAAACGATAATTTTGCCGGCCAATCACAGATCGTGGGTGTATATCAATATTTGCAGGCGCAAATACATGGAAATTATCCTCAGCTATCCCTAAAGTGAGCTTGCGGGCGAAGAAGATGCCAACAGATTAAAGCCAGTTAAAAATGGGTTCCCCACAGAAAAAATATGAGAAGAAAAAAATTCTAATCCGTTAAGGGTTCACTCTGTCACCTTTTAAGCTTTTACCCACTCAAAATTCCCCCAGGAGATTCACCATTTACAAGATTATGACACCTTCCTGATTTATTTAAAACTTTTATTCGAAATACGTTTTTCTGAATAACTCGGACAATTTTCGAGATTTTAATTCTTTCTTTGGAAACGTTCGCAAAATGTCTGCCTTTAACTCATTAAAAAAAAAAGAAAAAAATTTTTTTTTCTGCTTCTGTAGGTGGGAAGTAACCTTGATCCAAAGAACGACAAGTATTTTATTTCTCACAAGAGTATCACCCCTGAATCAAACAAAGAGGTCATAACAACCCTATCAGTTTGTTGTTGAAAACGAGAACCGGATGTCAAGCACTGAAATCAAACATGGAGTTATCTAAAATCACTTCTCTGGAAATCTGGTCATTTTAGGGAGGAAAGATGAAAAAGATGCAGTCCTTGGCAGGAGAAAGAAATGACCCTTTTGAACAGAGAATAAAAATATATTATTGTATGGAATTATTTTAATCTTGCATGCAATACATCAGCCTGATATTATCACTGTTAAACCTGGTGCATAAAATATCAGTCTGATATTTGAACAATCTATAACCCTTTGACCCCTAAGCGTGACCTGCATCTAATTTCTCCTTACAATATCACCCCTCAATCACACACAAAAAGGAGAATAAACAAAATGATCACCAAATAAAGAACAAATCTGTTAAACAAATTCTCCATGTCAGCACTTTTGGAAATGTGTGGAGAATATACATACTGATGATAAGAATTTAAGAGTTAAGACAACAACACCAGATTCTTTTATAGACTCTTTGGTATTGATGTAACTATCTAAGTCAATCAACCAAGCTTACTGAAATATGGAGAACCATTTTCTCTTTCCCATATTAAAGTGATGGAAAAGAATAATAATCTGATGATTCAGAGGTAATAATTATTGTCTTTTTCCCTTCCTTTATTCACAGCAAAAGCATTGCAAGGAGCCTGGAAACAAAAAGAATTGTTGTGTGCTGGATCCAGCCTTGTAAATCACACATGTCCTGGTGGAGTTGGCGGCAAAAGATCAAGATAACTGGGGGAAAATGCAAGGAAGACAGATAATCAGTGAAATGGCCAGGAATATTACACTGAGTAAAGCAAGTGGTAGTCAACAAATCGCATGGTACTGAATTAATATTCTAGCAATACTGTCACTTGAGTATGTTTTTACAATTGTTACAACACACCACTATCTATGTCTAACTCTCTAGCCTGCATCACAGGCATAACATTCGAATGCCAGCAAGTGACGTAAACCAGCACAAACAAGCAAAAAGTCACTCATGCAATATTTGCTCACTCACTTGCATTGCTTGCATTCTCACCATGCACATGTTACTCAGGCTACTACTTATTCTCTTAAATCAATAGTCTTTTTTATTTATTTATTTCTTGCAAGGTCACTGTCACATGATGGATTCCCGGTAACAGCACCAAAACAGACAACAGTTTGCATCCCCCAACTTTCACTTTGAACATCAAGGTCTAAGTTTTTATCATGTTTTGCTTATGCCTCCCACATTTTTTAACCTTTGATCTTGGTGACTAGCATTTAATTGCACCTTACAGTATCAACCCTGAATAAATCATTAAGGCAAGGGAAAATACAATAAATTATTTTCATCCAAAAAATATTTTGACTGTTAAACCAGCTCTCTTTATCAGAACCATAGAAAATGTATGAAGAACAATATGGAGGAATTTACTTTCACTCCCTGATCTGATTATAAATTCTCCCCTCTAGCTGATACACATTTCCATGTAAACTGGTTATGAGAATTAGGTGTTTGATCAAGGTAATATCTTGTACCTGATGAGTTTGAGTATTCTCTCAACCTGTTTGCTGGATAGTGTATGGATAATATAGGGAGAAGTTTTATGTTGATCACTTCTGGGAGTTAAAGGATCAAGGTGACAAAGCAAGCTCTTTTACCTGGGGTTGTGCATTTCTATCCGTCCTCTAAGTATCGAAGGACCCAGCAATGAGCTTAACTGAGAAAGGCATTCAGAAGCTGCTGTGGATGTTAGTGCATTGTCACTTTTCTGCCAGAGAATGCATATAAAACCAGATGTGAGGATAATTATTATGACAAGTATTCCAAAAAGGCTAATAATGGTAATAGGACAGAGTGGTCTGTTTTTTCCAATTCAGTCTGTAATCATATGAGTGATCGACAAAATCGGAGGACCTCAAAGCAGGAGTCCAATTTGTTAATAACGAGTCTGATTACAGACCAAATGGGACAACACAAAGTCCTGTTACCAATTAATAAGACTATGGCAAAATTTGAGAAAGAAACCAAGCATTTGCTACTTGTTTTTATAAAAAAGACTAAAACAGTTACCTCAGCAAAATGCTTACACAGGCATGATGTGTTAAAGGTCCCTTTAACTGTCCTATTACACTGTCTTATTACACTGTCCTACAACACTGTCCTACAAAACTGTCCAAATCACACTAGTGATAACCAATCAGTTTGAGAATTTTGTTATAGTTTTGATTAAGAACAAAATGTAACAAAGTTCATAAATGATTCATGAGACCTTGGGAGTTTAGCTTACAGGGTAATCCTAAGTTTCACATGTACAAAGAATCTTTAAATGCCATACTTTTTCAGTAAGATGCAAATACAGGAAATACAGCTAACTTTTACAAGATGTCATGATCCAGATTTAAGAGCACCAATCAAAGGGCCACTATGTAGGAACTACTTGAGAACAAAACTAATAGCAGTTCTTACCAGACTGTAAAAGATTGAGTCAATGAAAAGCTCAAAATGTCTTTTGAATTGATTCTTTCCTATTCCTTTGGCTATAACTGGTAGCTGGAAAAAAATATAGTCAAAATTTAAATACAATTAAACAAAAATTTAAAAAAAAATGGATAATTTTGTTTATAACTTATTATGCCTGAGAATTACATTATAACGTTTCCAAGTTGGTTTACCTGTGTGCACACAGTTTCCAGTAGATGTAGATGCTGAGTATAATGTTTATAGTGGGCTGCCTCTGCTACAAGTGGCATTAAGGTGATCACTTCTTTATGAGCCTTGGGATTAGTTGAAAGCTCAGCAACAAGATCCACACAACTAGGAGAGGGAGGAAAAGAGTTCTCAATTATCAACTTACCTTTTAATACTAATAACCTCCAAAGTCATTTTAATTTGTGCAAATCCAATTTAGGATAAGTAAAAGGTTGGTCTCTGTTTGTCAACTTAACCTCTGAAGACACCTTCACAATTGTTGTTTCAATCATTGTGATAAAGAACATTGCTACAGTGAACAGTAAGCTAGCATCCAAATCAAGAGTTCCAGATTTAGATCCAATTGGGAAAATAACCAAAATCCCCTTTGTTTTAACTCAAAGTTGGTGTCATTTATGGCTCTTTAAACAAACCCATCTAGAATTAAGACTGAAAAAAAAATTAATCTTTTAATATCCATGATCTGATAAATCATTTAACCTTCTTGCACTAAAAGTCATATTAATAAATTTAAACTCACCCATCAGCCCTTTCCCATGGCTCAGCAGGTCTTCTGAAAAGATGATCTGCACATCCACCTCCTCTTCTCATTTTAGGAGCAAGAGACCCACAGGAATACATCTAAACACCAAAAAATACTTAATCTATACACTTTATGATATCTCAATACAACAAGTTCACAATTTAGTATCATAGTGAGTGACAGCAAAAACAATAGTGCTCTGTCCAAATTGCACAGTCTGATACATGTTTTAATCTCACACAAAATTCAACACTGCATTAACAATAATTTTTTTTGCAAATACCAGTACCTGTCTGTTTGTATGTAGTTCCATATCATTGTCTCTCAGTCTTTTTATAACTCCAAATGTGGCTGGGCCCTTCTCTACTCCTGTATACCTTAAAAAAAGAGTGAAACATTGATATCATTACTTAGTGTCAGGTTACTTAACCTTTTAACTCCCAGATCAAATTTATAATTCTCCTTACTGTAAACCATACAATTCTTATAATGTTGGTTCAGAGAATTTGGAATTGGATCAACTAATTATCCTCAAATTGATATTTTTCTTAATTCTCATCGCTTATCTGGTTGATATTACATTGATATCATAAGGAGAAATTCTGTCTTGGTCACTCATGGGAGTTAAAGGGTTATCATCTCCTACTCTTAATTTTGCCAGCGGCTCTTTCTACACTTAGAAAATATTTTTAGTAATGACAGCTACAATTGGAGACTTTCCTGGGGAAAAGAGATGTCAGAAAAAGGAATATCCATGAAAAAGACAATTAAGAAAACAGCAAGTAATAACAGAAAGTTATAAAAAATATCTAGGGAACTAAACTAGCTACTAAGTGTTTTACTTTCAATCGATGAAAATTTGCACTATAATTGATCAAATGTACTTGATGGAAATGAATTTTTACTTTTCTGTGGTGGCTTCCTGCTTCTCAATTCCTTGTAGACCTTCTGTCACTCTCTTAATAACAATATTCAGTGCAGTTTCCCCTGCAAATAAAGCAACTAATTTTATATTTGATAGTCTATAAAACGATCACTGTACTTGTTCTGCAATATAATTATGTTTCACAGAGTTCATTTTCAAACCTTTAAATACATCCAAACACATGTTTATGTCACTCTATTTTTAGGATATAGACACCAAACAAATAAAAATGTCACCCATTCAAGTTCTTAGCAACATTTGCTGAAAATTTTGTTACATATTTATTTTGCCATGGCAAATTAAAATAGTCACAAATTGAATTGATAAAGAGTAACATTACAAAACTGTCAATCACCTTTCCCCTCAACAGTCCCTATAAAAAATTAACATCCCAAACCATTTCTTAAAAAGTACTTTATATAACCTAGAGAAAACCACTTGTGAGAACTAATGACAAGTGAAGGTACCTACCATAAGCTTTAACAACATTACTAAGTGACACTGCTGCACCTTGCCTTACTGAAGGGATGCTGTCTGAGAGATTCTCAAAAAATAAAGGATACAGTTCATCCATGCTGGAACTTAAAAAAAAAAAAAAGAAAAAAAGGAAAAAGTTATGTTTCAGGTGAGGCATTTTAATTCTTAACCCTTAATTTACACCCTAACATCAGTATGCATATTCTCCATACTGTTCTCTATACATTTCCTAATGTGCTGGCAAGGAGAATTTATTTAACAATCAAGAGGTTCCTCACTTGATTATCATTTCCTCGTGACCTTAATGTTTGATTCATGGGTGATATTGAAAGGAGAAATTAGATACTGGTCACTCTATGGCAAATGCATGTGTGCCACAACAACCTTACCTATTTCGGTTTTGAGGGTTTCTACAATTTTCCAGTTAATCAAAACTATAATAAAATTCTAAAACATGATTGGTTATCACCAGCCCAATTTGAGCACCAATAGGACAGTCTATGCTTGTAATTGGAAAGTGTAATAGGACAGTTGACACGTCATACCTGCGTACATGGACCGAAAGCATCATTTGTGCTAACTGTTGTCATGCATTTCATGGAGTTAACAGTTGTTTTCTTATAAAAACGTATAACAAATGTCTAGTTTCTTCCTCAAATGTTGTTGCAATTTTGATTAATTGGTAACAGGACTTCTTGTCGTCCAATTTTCTCTGTAATCACACTCACGCTGACAACTTGGACTCTCGCTTTGTTGTCATCCAATTTTGTTACTCACTTGTATGATTACAGAATGAATTGGACTCCACCCAGTCATACTACCATTATTAATAAGACTCAAGAATAAACAAACTTATCAGCTGGAGGGTGTAATCTTGCTATAAAAAAGACCAAATTCTTTCAAATGAATTACAGTAAAAATTTAAGCAGTTAGGAAAGAGAGAATTGACAGCTTAACAGGGGGCAGAGCAGCAGTCTCTTGTGAGCAGAAACAGGATTTCAAAATAACAAATCATTCCACCAACCTGCACTCCTGAGGAAAACACAGCACAAAATTTCCACAGGCCACACAAGCAGCTGAAGAAGAAGCAATGTCATTATGAACTGTTATGTAAACTGTGATCAGTTACTATGTATCAAATGGTAAATTTAAGACAAAAACATGCTGAGTGCATAGTTTGTTAAAATCAAAATTCAAAAAATTCAATTGAATGACTTGAAAAAAACAGATTTAAAAGAGGTAATTATAATCCCTAGAAACAACAGCATTCACACCCTTGTATACTTAGTCACAATTATAAAGATAAATTAGTCATGGCCTATCATATGGATTTCAAAAATTCAAAATTCAAAATTCGAAGATCACTCACAGCCATCAAAATTACACTCAAAAACTTCCTCTCAAATCAATACCATTGCCTCACTCCTGGCCTGCATCAACACAACAAAGCACAAAACTTACCATCCCTTACAGGCCAACTGTCATCTTTGAAACAAAACACCAAAGCCTGAAGAAGTTCTGACACATGCGACCTTAAACTGTCTTGGCTAACCTAGTAGAAATTAAATGGACAAAGGAAACTTTTTTTTTTAGGAAATTATCTTCAGTTATCTATTAAGATCAATAACTGAAAGTCCAGCATACAACCAGAATAATTACAGAATTTACATGTAATTGTTTGGAGGGTTTGTAAACCAACCTTAGTCCCAAGTTCAGCTATGCAGGCACAAGCTGCCTCTCTAACAGCATGGTTGTCTGCCTTGGTTTGACTTATATAAAATTCAACCTAAGTGACGATAATAATATATCAAGCATCATATCAGCATTTATTTAACACTTTCACTCTCAGATCTGAAATGTTTTTCTCCTAACTGGTGACCATACATTTTTTCCTTTGGCCATTTGTAAGAATTTAATTATGTCAAAACAATGTCTCAAACATGATAAATTTCCCAGTTCTTACACCTGTCTGATCTTTGATGTATTAAGATAATATTAACATTTTAAACTCATCTTCGTACTTTGCACTAATTTCAACTGTTGCTATCAACAACACTCAGTCTGATGTCTTTAAACATAAAAATGTTGCCTTTTTCTTAACCATTTACACCCCAACATCAGTATGCATATTCTCCATACTGTTATCTATACATTTACTAAGGTGCTGAGAAGGAGAATTTATTGAATGATCAAGAGCTTCTTCACTTGAGATCATTTCCTTTATTCTCATGATCTTAATATATGATTCAGGGGTGAAACTGTAAGAAGAAATTAGATGCTAGTCACTCTAATGGGGTCAAAAGATGAAAATAATTAACACATTAACCTTTTTACAACTTCCCTACATAAATATTTCTTAATTCAAAATAAAATCCTTTTTACTCACTGTCTCTGTGATGTATTTTTCCACCATATGCTTTCCTTCTGTTCCAACTATCATTTTCCAGCTTTGCTGGGAGTATATTCTAACACCTTCTGCCACATAATACCTTTTAAAAAAAGTGATTTCAATTCAGCTACATAATTGGGACTATTTATTTACAATCCCGATGTCAATAGATTTAAAATTGAAATGTTAAGATGTGTTAAGGTAAAAGTTAACTTTTCATTTCATATTGCATTCAACTTCATCAGCATTGTATTTTTTCAGAAACAATAATTTGCTCGATGAAGAATCAATTGATTCAAATCAGGAATTATTCCAGAAATTTTACTGTATGGTCTAACCTGTTCAGACACATGGCTGGTAGTACCTTGGGGAAGAACCTCTCTCTTGATTCTTTACTGGGCAGAGTCTGAAAGAACTGCCGCGTGGCTACAGAGGCTGCTAACCTAACCTACATTTCAAATGAAAACAGATGTTATGAAGTATAAAGTATGACCAGTATCTAAACACAACAGTCTCAGGAAATTATGCAGCAAAGTAAAGTGAAAGTCAAACAATGTATTAAGTGGTTGTTTTATTTCATACAACATCAACAACAAGTCACATTACCATCACAGCATCAAGCAGACAAGTCATAAGAATATCAAAAAATATCAATTAGGGGATAAGTTGACCCAATACCAAACTCTCTGAACTAACATCATGAGAATTGTATGGCAAACAGTAAGGAGAATTCCTAGTAAGAAATTTTGGATAAATAACACCATTCTAACTATGGAACTGAGGAGCTTTTGGCATCTAATGAATTATGGTTCTTACTGTTTTTTTTCTGTTATCTTTCCATGAAAAGCAAAAATAATCTTCCCCTTAAATTTTCTTTGAAAATTTTATTCCAGATTATTATAATCTGGGACAAAGGATGAAAAAGAGAACACTTCAACTAGTGATTGAAATTTCAACCAATGTAAATAAAAATCTGAACTACATCACTATCCTGAAAAGGGATATTATTAAAATTAAAATCTATGTGTTGCACAAGTAATCTGTCAACATACTTGGCTCCAGTTGTCAGACAATCCTTTTTTCAGGTAATCTGAAAACTGATCTCCATGTTTGAGTATTGCATTTTCTTTAACATCTATTTTGACAGACTCTGTACCTTCAGACGACTCATCTGCAAAAAAGTGCACATTTTGAATTGTATAACTCAAGAACTAAACGAAGAACACTGCTGCATCATATACTTATGAATAGGGAGAGAAAATAAATTTGACAGGTCTCACCCAATAAACCCCAGATCAGATTTGTAATTCTCCTTACTGTCAACCATACAATTCTTATAATGTTAGTTCAGAGAATTTTGTATTGGATCAACTAATTATCACAAAATTGATATTTTTCTCTACTCTCATCACTTATCTAGTTGATATTGTATTGATATTGTAAGGAGAAATTCTGTTTTGGTCACTCATGGGAGTTAAAGGGTTAAATGTGATACCTGATTAACCTCAAATTAATACAGTACTTTACAGAAAGGCAAGGTAAGGAGAGATTTGATGTTTTCCCCTATAAATTTGACATGTGAAGTACTGTTTAAAGTGCACATGATGAGTCAATTTTTCTAACATTTGCACATAAAACAGGATCAGGACCCCCCCCCCCCTCCCACTTTGCTACCCTCTCAAGGCCTATGCTTTACAACAGGAGAAATGATCTTACATAAAAACTATAGTTGAGTTATTAGAAAGATAAAGAAAAAATGATTGAGAAGGGGGGGGTCGTAAATGACAAAACATTCTCTAAATCAATAGCCTACACATGCACTTTCAAAGATCACTTGCAGCCACAATGGACACTTTTAAGATTCCAAAGAGATCTGATTGTCCCAAAGAACTTCGGAAAGGACAATTTGGTAAATTTGGGTAGGGGTAATCCAAATGTTCTTTGTTTAGTTTGCAATGATCCTGTTTTATGTGAAAATGTTAGAAAAATTCAATCATCATTTGCACTTTAAACAGGATCAGGACTCCCCCCTCCCCAACTGTTTTACAACAGGAGAAATGATCTTGCATGAAAACTATAGATATGTTACTAGAAAGATAAAGAAAAACTGATTGAGAATTAATCCAAAAGGATTCCTACCTTGCTTTCTTCCCAGGCTAACAAGTGATGCACAGAGTTGATAACCTGTCTCTCTCACAAATCTGTTTGTATGGTTTAATGCTTGAAATATCAGATCTAGAAGGTCCTGAGTGATGTATTCATTAAAGGCTCTTCCACATCCTTCTATCACTGATTGAAGACACCTAAAACATAAGGTATCTCAGCCACCTTTCTTCTGTTTACCACACTTGGTTAGCTTACATTATGTAGCGCAGGACTGGCATAAGGGAGGTCAAGGGCTCAATTTCCAGACCAGACTAACATGCAAGACCAAGGATCTTAAAATGACTGAGGAGAATGCACTGCCTTTGCCTTAATAAGAAGATAAGCTGTAGGCCCTGTCTCCTGTCTCTCCTCTGTACTGGTTAGCAGAGGACATTAACCCTTTAACTCCGAGAAGTGATTAACATGAAACTTCTTGTTATAAAATCCTCACATCATCCAGCAAACAGGTTATGAGAATACTCAAACTTATCAAGTAGAAGTTGTTATCTTGATCTAACACCAAGTTCTCATAACTAATTTACAAGGAAATGTCTAGCAGCTTGAGGAGAGAATTAACTTCAAGATCTTGGGAGTTAAAGGGTTAAAAACCCACATACTTCTCGTAAAGAGTAGGGAACATAGTCCCTGGTGTTGTGGTCTGACCTTGTCATTGCTTACACAAGCTCCCATTTAAACCAGCTCTGAGCTGAACTGGACCAGCCTGTCTAAATATCACAAACACACACAAAGCACTATAGGCAGTTACTATATTTTTGTTAATAAAACTTGAGTTGATAGCATGTGACAAACCTCATGCTTGTCTCCAAATGTTTCCATCCAGCAGTATCATGAAATATCTGTGCAGCATCTGTTTTTTTGTGCTGAAAATCCAAATAATATTGTATGAAAAAAGAGCTGAGACAAGAATACTACTAGTGATTTGATCAACATAAAGACTAAATGTTATTGCTCTTAGTTGTTGAACAAAAACAGTTGGAAGTTTCTTTTCTATTTTAAAATACGCATCACCATTTTAACTATTTTTGAGCCCCTAAGAGTGACTAGCATCTAATTTCTCCTTACCATATCACCCCTGAGTCAAACATGAAAGTCATAAGAATAAAGGAGATTATCACCAACTAAAGCAGCTCTTGATTGCTATACGAATTCTCCTGGTCAGCTTCTTTGGAAATGTATAGAGAATAGTATGGAGAATATGTATGCTGATGTTAGGGTGTAAAAGGTTAAAAGTATTTAGTTATTCACCTTTTCTTCACCTGTCTCCTTTTCACTACCAGTTAATTTATGCATAAGTCCTTCAGCTACTTCTTCAGGGTCAGGCAATCTTCTCTCCAAATTTTCACCCACATTCTTCAAGATTTCATCACAGCAGGCCACAAAAACTCCTGTACCTTTCATTGAACAAAGGGCACCAAGTACCTCTCCTGTAATTATAAAAAAAAAGGGAATGAAGTTTTGAAATCAGTGCACAGCACTGTGAAAATGAACACAATAAAGTGTATTTCAGAGAGTGGAAACAGATAAAAACGTTATCAAAACTTATTTCATAAATGAACAACAGAGACAACCAGGTAACTTTCCTTTGATATCATTTCAATGTACGTACTTTGACTATCTGAGTTATACGTTACGTAAAAAAAAATAAACCAATGTAATCTATTGCTTAAGTGTCTGCAAGGATGAAAAGTGTCTTTTGTGACTCAGAAAACTTTTAAAGTTGAGGTTACTTATTAATTTAATTTTATGTTGGGAGCTGATCAATATCGTGGCTTTGTCCCATATCCTTTTAAAGAGGGGATAATACGTGGCAAAATATTCTCTACATCAATAGCCTACGCATGCATTTTCACAGATCGGTTGCAGCCACAATGGACACTTTAGAGATTCCGAAGAGATTTGATCGCGCCAAAGAACTTCCAAAAGGACAATTTGGTAAATTTGGGAAGGGGTAATCCCAATGTTCTTTGTTTGGTTTGCGACGATCGTGCTCCTAACCTCTGTAAAATTAGCTTTAATTCTGATTTCACCTGAAGCAATCCTGACCCTCGCTTCGTCATCATGCATTAATTTTAATGCTTTTTTTTTGAGGGTCTCACAAAAATCATCCGAGCCGAGATTGTTCAAAATAGATGTCTTGCTTCCTGTCAAACCACCATGTCGTGTCTCCCAGGCTCCATCCGTCGATGTCACAAGTTCGATCAAAGAGTTTTGCAAATCCTCTACTTGTTGAATATCTGAAGTAAAGTTCGAAGTATCTTTCAGTTTCCCTTCCAAAGCTTGTAGCCCTCTATCTCTTTCTAACTTCACATGGCTACAAAGAAGAGCTAAGATATCACTGACAGATTTGTCCGCCATCTTTGTTTGAAGTATCCAACAAAGGATTGTGGGAGGGATGTGTCACTTTTGACTGCTGGGAGGAGAGGGTGAGGATCGTATGGAAAGGTGCATGGTCAGTGCGAGCAACTGCAAGCAAATGCAAGCGTGCAGGTGGGCTTGCGAAAACAAATTCCTCCCCACGTGAGTCTACATGATCCTGAATTCAAGGTACTTTTCTTCATTATATATATATAACAGCATACCTGGATTTAAGGAGGATATGAAATGAAAGAGAGATGACTGCTGTGTAGCCGCGCCGGCATGCGGCGGCCCGCGTTTTCACTTCCCGCCTCTTCTTTCTCTCTTCCAGTCACTAGCCAATCAGATGCTTGGTCGAAGATGACGTTCAGCGAGAGGAAAAAAGATTTCAGCTGAGTTCAGAGACTTTTTTGGAGTTTACATCTCGACGATTTTTCCCGTCGATAATACAGTTTAAATTTCCAGTTGCTCGTGTTCATGGTATCAAGGACTCAACATACTATCAGGAAAAACTTGGAAGGTTGAAGACAGACTTCCTCAAAGCAAAAAGAGGTAAGTTGGTTGCCCTAGATATCAGACGTGCATGAGCTAAGATTTTGCTTTAAAGAGCTGTGAGGATTTTTGAAACGAACCTGTTGTATCTCTGACAAAACTTAGGTCAAACCTCGACCGTCAATTTTCATGCGTAGAAGATTCTTTGTTGCAACCAAGGAATTTATAAAATAGTTAGAGGACAACTTCAAAAGCTGATTATTAAAAGTGAACCGAACTCTTCGTTTCTATAGTGAGCAAGCAAGCTTAAGTACTTTCGTGTATTTTAGATGCTAAGCTCACTTTCGCCTTGTATACTTGTTTTATTGAACCATAGGAGAAAAAAAAACTGGCCATGGCGAATCAATTGTCTGAGTATGAAATTCAGCGATTTCACAACATAAAAAAGAACCACGAATACATGAAAAGTCTAGGTGAGTATTTTATAACTAATATTTCCTTGCCAAAGACATTAGTGTTGATGTTTCTTAAGCCCCGTTTACACCGATAAACTGTTCAGTTTGAAACGTGCATTATCTTTGATGTAAATGGAGCATTTATGAATTATCATGATTTTGGCAACTGCTATGATTGCTTGCTTGAAAAAAACATTTGGCCCAATTTATGCAATTTGGAACTTCCTGTCAAAACCTTTACGAACAGAATACCTCGAGTGACTATACTACTCTCTTGAACAAAATATCTCTCCCTGAAAATCATACTCTCTTGGAAAATTGATTTGATTGAGCAGTTAATCAGCCTTAAACATCAGTATCTACTTCCCCTTAGAAAGTCACTCCTTTCCTCAATTTTGAAGATGTAAATTTCTGCCTTGATGCAGCTTTTTTACTGATTTAACTACCTCTCAAACTAAGAATCTAACTATTCATTTTGCATATTTACGAGTCGCTCTTCGTTCTCAGGACTTCCTGTTCCTGTAGTTCCAGCTGGGCTCCAAGGTCGTCCTCGTAGAACGCCGGTAAAAAAGAGTAAAACACTATATTTCGGCCAAGATGGGGAGAGTTCAAATGAGAGTAGTGATGACAGTGATGAAGATTGGGTTCCAGGGTCAGAAGAAGTCAGACGAAGAAATAAAATGATAAAAAGGTTTATCCCAGGTAAATTTTTTCCTATGTAAATATGTAAATTAACCGGTTGATTATAACTGTAAAATGTAGCGTTTTTGACGACTGGCTGTTGCTTGTGTCGGCGAAAATCGCTAGGTGTGTCTGTTGCAGCAATAGTGATTTCTGGCGATTTCTGCCAATTTCTACTGATCGCCGATATCTGACATGTCAGATATTGACGATTTTTGCTGGCGATAAAATTCGCCACCTTAGGCGAATCTTAAATCGCCAGGTGTGTCACCGGTCTAAGCAACCCTGAGATTTCATACATCAGTATCAGTGATCGGAGAATTCTACAGCCACCCCGCAGAATTTTGCAGCTAAATTTTAGTGGCCTGGCAATTTGTTCACACGTGGAGAATTTTCACTCATTTTTAACAGTAATTTCCACTTCTTCATTTCTTAATGAGAACCCTGGCAACTGTAGCAACTTAATAAGTACAGGTTACTATAATTCACTTCATTTATCAGCACATTCTTTTTCTTCAACTGAATTATTTCGTAAGGAGTTATACTTTTTTAATCACTGCAGATTTTCGACCAAAACCTCAAACAGTGCCTGTTCAACAAGGACAGATGGAAATAAAAGTGGTAATGATAGAGTTGTTACTTAGACTGTTAAAGATTTGCTCAAAAAAAGGCACTTCCGTCGCTTACTTAAGAGGACAAATTTGCTCTAAAAACCGTGTGGTTTTCACATCCATCAGAATAGATAAAGTACAGCACATCACCGCACTGGCCGCATTTGAGATCTAAAAGATTAAAATAAATTTTTAGAAATTGTCTTCAATGTGCAAAAAATTCGACCGAGGACGCCGTCATTTTTATTCTTGTTTAGCAACGTGGCCACTACGCATGATTTTAAAAAATAGTCTTGCTCCTCTTTCTTCAATCTCTTGGTGATCTATTTGCACAAAAAGGAGGTGCACAAAAGGCATTCGGCGTGACGATAATGATTTTTTGGCCATAACCCGAGAGACAACTATTTGTGAACTACGCATCGTGTTTTTGTGCTTATTTTTTTAGTTATCATTCTATTTTTTTCTCTTGGTTTTAGAGCTTGCTTTACCCCCCAATTTGGGATTAAAAGGAACTAATTTTTGACAACTTTTCTGTAGACCATGAAGAGACTGTGTCAACTGTAACTCGTAAAAACGTTAAGCCTAGGCTGTTTATAATTAATCAACTGACAATATTTCAGAGAGAATGACATCGGGCGTAATGCATGATGCCTTTGAAATCGTGAACCTCGCGACGCCACATTTTGCACATTAGATAGGTTATCATTCCGAAAAAGTGCAGAGAATGTTAACGAAAATATTCCTAGAACTTTCAAGACTTAATTCTACTGTGCGATTTGAAATTTTACACTTCTCCGAGAAATTTAGGCTCAATTCCAAACGACGAATACAAGAAATACTTGCGAATAGCGAGATCCCTATATAAAAAGTCACATGAATTCGATTACGTTATACAACAAAAGATATGGTATATGTCGCAGGCAAAATCCTGTTCAACAGAGAGTAAATGTACGTACAACTCAAGTACTGTTCTCTAGTTTTGTCTACTTGTTTGATTGATTGTTTCTTTCTTTCAACATAACTACAGGTGGAAGACGAACAGAGTTGCCCCAATAAATTTGAGGAATTAGCTAGGTTAGGGGAAGAGGTAGATTCAATCCCTGACGAAAGTACAGTGATTTCTTTAAAGAAAGTTAAGGAAACGCCACAGAATATCAAAAGAGCCCAGCCTCCTAAGAAGCGAATACAGTATGCAACACGAGGGATGAGGCACTCGTACTGCGAGGCTGAAGTTCCAGACGATGACCATTATATCTGTAAGTTGAACTACAGTATTTGGTCAGTTTTGCTGATGGTCTATAACTTGAAGTGATTCCTCAGAAAAAAAACGTTATCGAACAATTTTTCTTATCTTTCCTTAAATATCCCCTACCATGGTCTGTTTCAAAAAAGATAGGTCACCGTCCTTGTTTAAAAGATATGATGACCAAAACGTACCCTATTAATGCCTACCTTTGCGGAAGCTAAAAGCAAGGGGTTTTAAAATGACATTTGGAAAAAACTTAATAGGTAGAAAGTCCCGGGCACACGAAAAAATTTGATGTGTAATTGTGCAAAAATCACTTAATTTGAACGACGTCGAATCAAAACGTTAATCGAGTCGGTGCTCCAGTTCAAGGTTATGATTTGCATCATCGAGTAACGGACTTCGCGCACGCCTTCAGCTATTTCTTTTCGTCGCTTTTTTTAAATTTTTTTTATTTCTCCAATTTAAAGGGGATGATTCGAAATCTAAAGTTATACATGAAATGAAAAATATAGGTCACCGCGCTCGTTCAAGAGATGAAGACCAACGTTCCTCTTTACCTCGTCAATCGATTGAAAAACAATACCGTGTTCTCGGAATGCGCGCGTGCTTATTTGCATGATTACATAATTTTTATGCGCAGTACATGATTCACAATGCAATACTGAGTAATCACCTTGGCCCAGTTGTAAAGAGGCCGGATAACGCTATCCAACAGATAATCGCTATCCGGCGGATAGGTGATTATTAAACGTATAGCGTTGTCCACCGCATAGCGATTTATCCATTGAATAGCATTATTCAACTTTCGATTAACCGAGGGCTTAGGTACAAAATGCATTTAACACGACCGGCTTTGAATTAAACTTAAATATATGTTTCCGAAAAGATTTTTCCCTCTCCGTCGCCATTGAGACAAATTAGTTTTTGTGTCTTTCTGGGAAGACAAACGATTTGAGCAAAATGATGTTTGGTTAACGGAAGTTATAAAGTTAAAGGCGATACACATTGTGAGCGTGTGATGTTGACCCCTGTAAGATTTGGGTCTCCTTTTCGTAACATATTCGATATTTATTCTCAAAAAGAACTTTCCTATCTGTTAACTCGATTTTTCACTCTATTTAGTTTGCGAAGAATGTCAAGACCTTCATTATGGTGACTGTCCAGTACATGGGCCTTTGCAAATCATAGCTGACAGGAATACAACAGAAAATTCAAATTTATCGCCTGCAGTCTCCTCACTACCAGCTGTTCTTAAAATAAAAAGTTCGTCAATTCCTGGAGCTGGTTTAGGTGTTTTCAGTACTACTGATATTTCGAAGGGAGTACGATTCGGTCCATACAAAGGGAAGAAGATAGGATGGGAGAACATTACTGATGAGACGAACACGTGTTACATGTGGGAGGTAAAGTGATATTCTTCTGAATAGTTTAGCAAATTTTTTCATCTTTCGATTGATGATTAGATGTTAGATATCTGTTCAAAAGCGGAAAACATGCAGAGTTATAAAGCACTCTAAA